CATACACAGACCGTCTTGGATTCAGCGGCATCAAAGAAGATTGAAATCGGCCAAACCTCCCCTCATTCTTCTGCATTCAATCGAATCACTATTTTGACACCTCATACTCGGTATCTTTACGAGTACTTCTTCCTACCATACTCCAAAACTGCGTTGGGCGTTGTTTTAACTCTCGCGTCGATATGTATCATTTGGTCTGAATTCATTAAGTCCATCAACCCCATTTTCTCTATAATTGCCGTCACTGTTGTTCATCATCGGGATAGTGAGAAAGGGGAAATTGGATTTGCAGGCCAAGTGATTGCATCGTTCTGGATTTTATACATGTGTGCAGCAGCTTTGAGCTCTTTGTCTGAAGTCAAGGTTTGGCGGGGACGCGCACTTGTCAGGAGAAACACACATGGAGAGGCTGCTATGTGGTTTGCAATGCAAGTAGCCAAGCTTTCCGTGCCACTTTCCTTCAACTTTATTACCTTCCTTCCGCCAGATGTTTACAAGAAGACGATGTTTTACAAGTTTCTTGGAAAGCTAATTGTGTTCACACCTTTGGGGGACTGGTTTGATTGGTTTTTCCCAATATTTATATTAGTTCCTGTATGCGCAACCCTTTTCAATTTATATGGAAAAGTCAAAGATTGTGTGGGATATGGAGGAGTTATTGAAGATGAGGATGAAGAAAATGAAAGTGGCTATGGTACAGGATCTTGGCGAGAAGGTCGTGATCTGATTGAGCGCGAGCTGAATGGTGGCCATTCATCACTCGGTGGGCTTGGGGAAGTTTCTGTAGATCGGCGTTCGGTTCCGAACAATCCTAACAACCGGGCCGCTCCTGTATTGACTGTACCGCGAGCCGAGAGGCAACGAGCCCTTGGCACAGCGTCTACCTCGAGACCAAGTGTTGAGCCCCAACAACGCCGCGTCGAACCCGAAGATGAGAACTTTTTCGAGGCATTGGGACATCGAATGAAGAACACCATCGACACTTTTGAACCACCACGATTCCTCGAGGGAATCAAGAAACCGAAGTGGATGGGAGGGGATGATGACAATGACGGACAATCAAGCAGGAGTGGGAACGATTTCACTCGCTGGTTTGGAGGTGATAATCAAGAAGGAAGAGTAAGATTGTAAGAAATATTATACAATTTGTACTTTATCATGTGCATAGCGGGCGGAGTTTGTATAAGAGTTGGAAAGGCCGTGTACCTTAATACCTAGACACTTTTGAATTCATAGAATAATCAATGATAAGATATAGTATATCCCTCAAGGGTTGTCTTTGATTAGCACAGGAGTCTTTTAACGAGATTAATAATTGAACCCCTAAAGATTTATATGAAACGATCAAAACTCATCTTTGAGTCTCTCATTCAAAGATTCTAGTCCGTTCTACTCGGTGAAACCCAGATCGTACAACACACCAATCAATCCTCATCCTCAAAACTCTGTAATCCATTCTCCAGCCTCTTTTTAAAAAATCATCACTCATCAAAGCCTCACTAAGCCTAGACCTGCAGTTCTCACCGCAAGAAATAAAACCCTGTCAATACGGACTTGGCATCTAAATCTCCACAAGCACAGCAGTATCCACTCCGATTATCTATCTGTCAGACCCAGATTTGCCCGTTGACACGGGTTTGTAGCGGGGTTTAACGCCAGAGCCGCTTCATGTACCGGACGATATTTTTGTTCTGGAATATGAATTGAGTCTTTTTCTTCTCTCTCTGTTTTTCTGCCTTCTTTCAGCTTGCTTTACGATTCGTTGCGCGAGTTTTTGATTCCAATTGATTATTGAAGAGTGACTTTGGATTTGAAGGCCCGGCTGACCACCGATTCTTGGACTGGGAAAGACAATTTTGATATAGTGAATTATTTTGAATAAGCGTCTCAAAATATAAGGTTGATAGAAGGAATTTCATAATCCTAATTAATACATGAATATTTGCAAAGATGGATGATTACATGTTTACGTTAGTATTATGAGTTTGAATTTGCTTTGGGGAAGTTTGCTGATTTGATATCTGGTAGGTCAAATGTCGCTCGGTGCAGAAATGTTATCGAGCATACTACTTATTTGGAGATGGTATCTTATTCGGTAAGAGATGCTTCAGCGATTATGAGAAGATCATTGCTAACTTTGTTCCAGGATCCTACTTTGAATACGATAGAAGAACACCCTTTAACACCTGATGAATTCGAGAATTTTCTTAATCGGAGGGTGAGATGCATTGTCCTTAATATCATGAGATTTTACTGACGCCCATTTTTCTATAGGGTGCTTTTGCTCCTCCAGAATTACCAGAGGGAGTGGTGCAGATAGCATGTGTTCGGTTGATGTGAGCATTCATCGACGAACCTTCTATGATGAGATGCTGACATTTTTACAGCCTTCAGTTGAATGCCAAGCACCCAGATACTTTCGCTACCAATGTCCTCAGCTTTCCGTCCGCTACATATATTTCCATGGTGAAGACTATGAATTTACCTTTTAGGTCAATCGAATCTGGGAGTGCCGTCGGTCCTATATTCTGGGCTGCTTATGATCAGGATGAAAAGAATCCTCATCTACGCAAGTTCTCATTCTCCTACAGGCCACACATCAACTGACATATCATTAGAAATTGTGAATCGCAAAAGCGATGTCCGGAAAAAGGGGTTGACGCGTGGCTGGGAACTTACTCTTTCTCATGATATCAACTCTGGGTTAACAACTGGATATGCGAAAGGCACAGAAAGTTCCGACATGGTAGAATCCATCAAACACCTCAAAGCTTGTATCCTCCAGATCGGACATCCGATGCTGTTACCAGCCATCATCTTTTCCCACGACATATCATACAAAACCGATCTCAAGCAACGAGATGCACGTGACTGGCTGCGAAAACTCGAGCATGCTGTATCGATGCGTTCGGAGATCGAAGAGAAGGAGGGATATGTGAGAGAAGGCGTTATAGATCTCGATGCTATCAACAGAGACTTGGTTGAATGTCATTCTCAAGTGCTATGGAAGAGACCGAAAGCTTATCTGCAGATTTTAGCACAGCTGGAGAAGGCAATGAAGATGTTTGAGGAAAAATTACCAGAAAGGAGAAAAGATGAAACTATGAGAGCTTTGCAGGCTAGTATGTTAGCAAGATTTGATTTCTATCGGGTGAAGCTTCAGGGTATCGACAGTTACGCATATACAACACTACAGAGATTGGATATCCAACGAAGTGCAGTTCGTACTCCCCTGCCCTCAGTCATTGCAAAACTAATCAAGGAAAACTAGCTCTACAATATCATCGCCCAAAAAGAATCCAAACTCAATTTCCAAATGGCCAAAGAACAACGCCAGCTTGCTCACGCCGCAAAACGCGATTCTAGCACTATGAAAACCATTTCGCTCCTCAGTGCCATCTTCTTCCCCGGCGCCTATCTCGCTTCCGTCTTCTCAATGACCTTTTTCAATTTTCAGAACGAGCCGGGCACACCGGCTGTTAGCGAGAGCTTCTGGTTATATTGGGCAGTGACGATTCCGTGCACGATGATTATAGTGGGATGGTGGTATGTGTGGGAGAAGAAGAGGGAGAGGAGATATAGTTTAGAGGATATTGATTTGGAGAAGGGCAGCGATGATATGGAGAAGGAGATCATGGCGACGATGAGAAAGAGAACGATGAGTAAGGCTAGTACATGGGAGAGACAGAATCCGATGGGGAATGCGAATGGAAATGGTCATGTACATGCACATGTGCATGGGATTAGTGAGAAGGTTCATGGAATTGGAGAGAAATTGGGGAAGAAAATGGAGTAGCGAGTAAGCGAGCGAGAAAGGGGATGTCTGCGGAGGTTTGCGCGATGGATTTGTATGCATTGTATATTGGATTTGGAGTTTGGGATATGAAGTTCTCCATTCTTCTAACCATGGAATAGGATACACATGCATGCATGGAAGGAAGGGAAAAAGGAGTTTTTGCTTTAGCTGTTTGTTTTACGTTGCTTTTTTTTTGCCTTTCACGTGGATTTCACGGTTTACAATTTTCACGAATTCACGATGATGAGATGAGATCGATGCTACGATTTATGACGGGATGAACGAGCGAACGAAGGAAGAAATGCATGCATGCATGCATGCATATATGAACATAGATAAATGTATACTAGATATACAAACTACACACATACCTAGGTATCAAGAATTGAAATCGAATAAACATAATATCTCGCTACTTTATAGTACCAAGTGAGGCATCGAGTTCCGAATAGATGAGATGAGCATCCTCGTTCAAATCTCGTTCAAATCTCGTTTTTCGATCTCCCCCTTTTCCCTTCCATGCCCATTTACGGGGTATATCCAGTGCATATAGTACATCCACTCACGAGTCACTATACCGAGTACTCGGAGAACAATGAAAGATGAAGAAAAGCGATAAAGATTTTCGCATCGTACTTCAAAATTTCCAAGCATACGATTCCGATCGCGGAGAATCTAGCTTCCAAGACTTGCTTGTTGTGCTTTTCATCGATTCATCTCTCAATCTGTTCAGACTGATTGACAGTCTGAAGTTTTGCCTTTGCTCTGTACGCATCATTAAGAATGTGTTGAGCTTAGCTCATCGGGGACCATAGACTCACCGGGAGCAAATCCTATACTCGACGAATAAAACATTGGTAACAATCCACGAAGTAACATTTATTTTGATTGCATCAATTTATCTCTAGACTGCGAGATAGAAACGAGTAATAAATCTTCGGCCTTTGTCACATTTATCACTTTCCCAACTCGGCGATCGAATGCTCCAAGCGTGCCATATCCATGTATATGAAGTACAAAACATCAATTACAATTGAGTCCATAACCTCCCTCCCAATTTGGACTTACTCATTGTCCATGACCGACCAATGTCCAACCAATAATTACACATAAGAACGCCAACACAAAACCTCCACCATTTCCCAGTCCCGACTCCCAAACCTTACCCATTCTACCTCGTACACATATATATCCATACGGAACATTACTCATCACCATCATCATTAACCTTTTCTCCTTTTCCATCCGTCCCAGATCCTCCAGCCACACTAGAAACAAACTCCTGATATTTGAATACATCCTGCCGTCTACTTCCACTCATTGCTCCTGTGTGTTTTGATAACGCTTTACGTGCTGTGAATCCACCCATAACTCTATCGACTTCCCGTTCCGTCAAGGGTTTCACACCTGGATCCGGTGCTGTGTGTATTAAAGCATCTCGTAATTCCGCATAATCGACTTGTCCACTATCATCTTCGTCGAATGCAGAGAATGCATCTAATAATTCTGGAGTTGGCGAAAGAGTACATAGCTGTGTAGCGAGCGAATTGAGAAATGTAGGAAGTGTGATGGTCTGTGGAGTTGATGGTGGAAAGTAGCCAGCTAATTCTGAAGCATTAGAGGAAAGACCTAGAGAATATTAGCATCTTGATATACTTTGTTAAGCTGGCAATGCTAACATACCCAATTGAGTCAACATGTCAGCGACATCTTCTCTACCAACTTGCCCATCGCTATCTCTATCCAATATCTGAAATCCTTCCCTCATTTCTCTGACTTGCGCGTTGGATAATTTCGACAGCGCATTATCGTTATCATTAGAATAGTTCGAACTCGCCGCTCTCAATGGACCACCGAATCCCGGACTCAATTGTGCGCCTTTTGTAGGTGAAGGTTCCGCTTCACGAAAGGCAGGAGGAATACCTCTTGGAGTCCATTTGCTTGTAGTTATTCCATCCGATGAATTGGGTGTAACCGAATTACCAAGTCTACTTGGCGTCACCATGTTCTTGACAGCTGCAGGATTTGGATTTGGAGTTGATTGTCTTAAAGGAGAAAGGGAAACTGGAGTAGGGGATTGAGATTGGGATTCAGGTCTTCGAAATGGTGAAGCTCTAGGTGACCCGAACGAGAGCGGTGATGGTTTATAAGAGGCCGACATTGACTACCAAAAGTCAAAGTGCATTAGTCTTGCATTATCCTTTTCTGGGTTCCAATGCATCATACTAATAAAGAGATGGAAGTAACGACTTTTGAAAAGTGGACCGGTGACAACTTACCATGGCTGTTGCGGAGATTCTAAAGATTCCCCAGAAATTCAGTGCAAAAAGAGTGTTGTGCTTGATGGATCTTAGTGAGAGTATGGATTTGTTTAATTCTTGATGTTGTGTTAGGTATAGGTACACTTGAATCGAGGTATTGATTAATCAAAAGAAGGCAAGAACGGAAAATGGAATTGATTGAAATCAATTGGACAAGCACATGTTATGTGAGGGAAGAGTAGAAGGCAGGTAATGGATGAATGAACGAATGGTAAACCTTATGAATGGTAATTATGATGAAGATGGAGAGGCTGAATGTTTTGGTTCGGTTGCTGGTGTAAACAAAACCAATTGAAAGCCCACCAAAAGCAAGGTTATCTTGGTTCACTGGTTTGATTGGTGAATTGAGTGAATGATAATTAGATAATAAGTTTCCTAGCACAAGGCTAATAATAACATAATAACTGGACTTGACTGGACTTGACTGGACTGAACTGGGTAGAGACGCACAGGATTCCAAGAACTTGGATACCTAGGTAGGTACCTAGGTAGGTAGTGGGTTCAGATCCTCCCTCAGATGATGAAGCACACACGGAGTGTCAAAATACATGGGCACAAGAAGCTTTTCAACATTATTTGTCATCTGGGCACCATGCCTCGAACATGCCTAGGTATGGATGCAATTGATCATTCTAGATTGACTAGTCGGTGATTTTTCGTTGGAATTAGACTTTGAACCAATAATTGGGAGATCTTGGAATCCCAAGTAGCCTTGTGAGCATTCCAGTACCAAGGTATGTACCTAGGTACCTAGTATATATGTACCAGGGAGGGAAGATAGATGGCTGCGAGATACTACCTCGACTACCCAGTAGATAAATGGATAGACAGATAGATGGATAGGTAGCCTTGCACTCAATCATCAGTAGTACTCCGTGGGTAGCCAGCCATTTTCGCAATCGCCGAACTTCACAAGTCACAAACATCAACATTAACATCACCATCCCGGTTGGGGAACCTGGACCCCTATTTATGGATAGATGGATTTTACCCCTGAAACGGAGGAAAAGAGGTAGCAAACCATTACCACACAACACGTAACTGGTTATCGGAAACACAAGAGAATTGGTGTTGCAGAAACATTCTCTCACTATTGTATCAAGATCCTTCGACTCAATAATGATACGTTACTTGAGCACTCAAATACCTCCAAGACTAATAAGGCACTTACGATATCAATACATGGCTACATCAATACATGACTACTTACATGACTATATGAGACCTCTAAATCCTTTTCGACTCATTCTTATTTAGCTTCTTCTCCTTTTCTCCCATCTTACTTCTACTTCCATATTACATGTATTTGGTTTGACTCTGATCCTTTCTTACACACATGGTTTCTCTTCTTCCTCGCCCTCGCCCTCTTCTTCTCCTTCTCCTTCTTCTTCTTCTTCAACGGTAATATACATAAAATCTAGACGGCGATACCCTTGAAATCCAAAAATTCTTCGATGGTTAACCTGCGCACGGATTGAATGAAGGCCTCAATCTTCCGCTAGGAAGTCTAAAGTCTCACAAGTGGGACTGTTACTGATACTAGCGTGAACCTAGCTAATAATTGCTTTCTTGGTCTACAGGAGATTCCAGTATGGCATCGGCACTTCCATATGCGCCTCCAAGTCGCAAGGCCAATCCTACAAATATGTCGATGCAAGCACTTCGTCCCACCACGCGGGGTACAATAGGAAGTGGAACAACAAGTTCGAATGGGAGTTTTCAAAGGAGAACTTCCTTATCTTCATTTCCATCCTCTCGTTCTCCTTCAGTCATGTCACAACGTCGTCCTTCACGAAGTCCGAATCCCCCACCAATCGACACGGATCGAACTTCTGATCCAAGTACCGTCACTTCCAAAACTCCCACCAGCGGTGTATCGTCCCAACACTCATCATTATCCGCTCCAAATAAATATAATTCAAGTGCACATCCTGCCAGAAAACTGAAATCACAATATCCTCGAGGAGATACAGAGAATCATGTCGAATATATACTGGTGGCATCATTTGATATTGACAAGGGACCGATTATGGAACATCAATACCCTGTTGCTATAACGGGCGACGAGCATATGTTAGCAGAATTGATGTTACCAGATCAAGCCCACGTTCGAAACCAAGATTGGACAATATTTTTCCTACATAAAGATACGAGTCAGGACGAAGAAGAGGCAGAGGAGAAGGCAGAAAGAAAAAGATTACGAAAGGCAAAAAAGGAAGCTAGGGCAGCTCTTTTTGAGAGTGGGAATGTTGACCCTTTAGAAAGGGTGGAAGGTAGTGAGGAGGATTCATCAGAAGATGATGAACCAGAAGGAGGCGAAGGCCCGCCTTTAATATATGTTTTGAATCTTGTAAACACAAAGCAAGACAAGACGGCCAAAAGAGGGGCTGTAGTGAAAGCCATGGCAATATGTACTCGACATCCATTTCTACACATTTATAAGGTGTGTCATTCATAATACCCAACTGGAAACCTACTAATTCTTGACAGCCACTTCTATTGTTAGCTCTTGAAGAATATTTTAAAACACCTCAACCATCTACGCTGGCGGAGTTATATGAGGCTGTAAATACAATGGATTTATCATTAATGCCTAAATTGAGCATACTCGAACGTCATCTTCTACAAGCTAGCGACAACAAAGATCTATTTGTAGAGAAGTTTGAACAGATGATTCAAATGCGTATGGCGGAGGACAAAGGCGAAGCGCTGGACGATATGGCAGCCATGTCCGAAAGTCCAGAAAGGAGACCAGGTTTGGTGCGAAATGGTACAAAAGCACATGTTCAACAACTCATACATTCGAATTACTCGGTACCTCGGGACACACACGAATTCGAGACCAAGGTCATGTATAATGGAATTCCGATACCCATCAAGGTTCCTGTTGCAGTATCTCCTGAGACAGTCGGGGATTTTTCTCTTGTAAAACTCATACAGACATACAACGATCCTCATGTCAAATCCCCCATTCCGTTCGCGCTACATCCTCATCTTACAACGGGAGGTGTACATACTCATCCTATCATTGTGTTAGTCAATGCAATGTTAACTCAAAAACGTGTCATCTTCCTCGGTCACAATCGTCCATCAGGTGAAGTTGCTGAAGCTGTACTTGCAGCTTGCGCTTTAGCATCCGGGGGAATTTTGCGTGGATTTACACGCCATGCTTTTCCATATACCGATCTTAGCAAAATCGACGACCTTTTAAAAGTACCAGGATTCATTGCAGGTGTAACAAATCCAACTTTCGAGAATCATCCAGAATGGTGGGACGTATTATGTGATATACCATCTGGCCGAATGAAAATCAGTAGTCGAATCGAACAAGCACCACTTACAGAAGGACTTGCAAATTTCCAGCAACAAAACCCGGCTTATGCCAGTGCTACAAATGTTGCAACTTCAACTAGCCAGGCTGCCAGTGATCCAACCGGCGATGCTGCATTCATGAATGATGTGATTCGCAGTATTGCAGCTAGACATGGTGAGGGTGTCATTCGAGCCAAATGGCGAGATTGGGTTGTCAAATTCACCAGAATCTCGGCCCAATTTGAAGAGAGTGTTTACGGCGCAAGTGCTTTGTATATCGGGGTAGAAAAAGCAGAGCCTGGCAATGAAAACGTCAGTGGCCACGGATACGTTTGGCCTGATGACCATGCGAAGTTCCGTGAGCTCGCTAGTAATGTAAATCGAATCGAGGGCTGGAGATCCACTCGAAGTTACTACAGCTTCAAGCAGGTATGTCTTTTGCTTGAACTCTCATGATATTAAGGACTCACAATATTTAGGATCTCGTGCAGCTGTACAACCTTCGACCTCTCAAAGCCCTTGACCTTCATCACCTGCACGATCGTCTCCGAATGACAAAGCTCACTCCTAGTGCAAGCCGTGATATATACGTTGCCATGGAGAAATACACACATTCATATGATGAAATATGTCAGCTTCTAGCTGTAGCACCCGAATCACATGCGGGACTCTTCTATATTGCCCTTGGACTTTTTCACAAAGATCGAGATGTTCGAATGAGAGTTGTTGATTTGTTGGAAAGGATCAGCGATCATGAAGCTGGACGACATTGGTGGAAAGCCTTGAGTCGATTCGAGAAATTAGCTTTTATTCGCATTAGGAGAGAAGCAGAAGCAGAGATGAGGGCTAAGTTGGGGGGTGTTGAGAGAGATATCTCGGCTGATGGTGATGCAATGGTTTTAGGAAGACGGGTCAGTTGATATAGCAAGAGAAGGATTTGATTGCATGTTGGTGTCGGCTTGTTTTTATGATTTTACGAGATCACGATCATCGCGATATTAGATGGAAGGTGCTAGGGTGCAATTGTTTAGGAACTGCATTGATTCATTAGTGGACTGAAAAATTACAGAGCCATGAAAGAACGGAAGGAAGTTCAGGAGATAGATACCCCAAGGAGACAGAACAGTTTTGCGGTCGAATGGAACGGCATTTATAACAATGCCACCATCATTCTATGATCCGTATATTGCGTCTGGACATCGAATTTTGGCGAATGTCCCCGGTTAACCTTGATTTTCCCGGTGAGCCAATGTAATTTATATGCCTCGAATTACGAAGAACCCACAGGAATTGTTTTCCTAATACAGCATCAAAAACCAACAATGGAAAGCTTGACCTAGAATTCCGAGTAACGTCCGAATAATGTGGGGTAACATCAAGCTTCGAAGGAGGGGTCGAATAGCTTCAAACGTCATGCCCACATCATTGTACGGACCATAAACAAACGATATTTCCTCATCTCTTACACTTCCTTCTATCTTCTCTAACTATCATAATCTAACATATTGAATCATTCCCCCAAATCTCTGATTAAAGTCTCTACAATTAAAGATGTCATTCAAAACTACAGCAACCATTGCCTCCTTTGGCGGCAAATTGCTAAAACTTACGCACGATGCTAGCACAGTGGGCTGCGAAATGGCATTGAATCTCTATCTACCACCTAAAGCTTCTGCGGAGAAAAAAGTGCCAGTGATTTTTTACCTAGCCGGTCTTACTTGTACGGGAGACAATGGAGCCGAGAAGGGATTCTTCCAGAGTGCGGCGAGTGAGAAGGGAATCGCGGTGGTATATCCCGATACTAGTCCGAGTAAGTTTCTTGAAGAATTCGGAGAAGAGGAGATGGTTTCTTCTTTTCGCGATTGTGATTAAGGGGGGAATGGGTATAGAATGGCGGGAAGAGCGGATAGCACACTAGCTACTAAATGAGAACCCCAAGCTAACTCACCATTCACCAACAGGAGGTCTCAACATAGCCGGCGAAAACGATTCCTGGGATTTTGGCACTGGAGCTGGCTTTTACATTGACGCCACTAATCCTCCCTACTCTACAAACTACAAAATGTATAGCTACATCACCTCCGAGCTCCCCTCTTCCCTCTTCTCCTCCTTCCCCGAACTCGATTCTGAGAGAAAAAGTATTATGGGTCATTCGATGGGTGGACATGGTGCTCTTACTCTCTTCTTGAAGAACCCGGGAATGTACAAGAGTGTGAGTGCTTTTGCGCCAATTTCCAATCCGGTCAAATGCCCATGGGGAGAAAAGGCTTTCAAGGGCTATTTTGGAGAAGAAAAGAAGGACGAATGGAAGAAGCATGATGCGACGGAGTTGATCAGCGAGTTCAAAGGAGAGTTTCCGGCTTTGATTGATGTGGTGAGTTTCATTTCAACATTTCTCTGCTTGTGCATTGGGGGATGCGATGGATTGCTGACAGGATTGGGAAACACAGGGAACGGGAGACAACTTCTATAAACAGGGACAGTTGTTACCAGAGAATTTCGAAGCTGCGGCAAAGAAGTCAGGAAATGACGGCAATTTGACGCTTAGATACCAAGAGGTAGGTTTATAACTACATTCTCCAATATCTTGAGTGATTTTTGCAGGTGGGAAATTAGACTAACAATTTCTGATAGGGATACGATCACTCATACTTCTTTATCTCGACATTTGGAAGAGATCACATTGAACATGCCGCTAAATATTTATTCGCATAGTATGTCTTCGGTTTTTTTCTCAGTCTCATAAAGTACAGGAGTCAAATACTGAATTTTATAGAAGCAAAAATGATCATGTAAATAGTTATAAGCTTTAAAACTATATTTAGCGATTCTTTTTATGTAGCAAATTGCCTAAACTTGTATATCTAAATTTGTGAGCCGCAGGAAAGTAACCTATATCTTGTCTGGGTGAAGACTGCAAGATGGATAAATAGGACCTCCAAACACTTTCACTGTTCCAAAATTCTGATATTGAAATGTCGACTTTGTACAAATATTCTTATTCTGGGTAGGTAGAAGATTGTGCTTTCAACATAATCGATTGTTTTGAATAAAAGCTGCTTCGAACGCAAATTCGTAAAATTGATTGTTCAGAGATGAGGCCCATGTAGAAGTCCGGAAAGCTAAATGCGCCCACCGTCCAATCAAACTAATGCATAGTCTTCGAATACTCGAGTCAAACCGGAGCTCATTCTGTAAGTGGAAGCTGCGCAAGCGTTTTAAATAAAATTGTAACCCCAGGCGATGCGTCCAAGCATGTGTACCATCATCAAGATCAATTTTATCCATGTATTTCTCAAAGTAGATCATCTCCAATTACATATAAGCAAACGCCTTTCATACGCCAATCGCCCATTCCATGCGTCTCCCCGCAAGTATTACCACAAATGCAAGTAAATGACCACCATCATCTCTCACTGCAGCAATTCCTCGCAAGTCCAATCTTCATACCTGTCAATCTTATCAGTAAAATTCCCTAAGCCATCATCAAAATGAACCTACCATCCATCGGGCATATAACGTCTAACGATCAGCGGAATCTTCTTGTCCCTCAACTCCTTGATCGCAATTTGCAATGGATCCGTCTCACCCTCCTGATCAACCAAAATCGGCGCATTCATACTGATTTGCAAGGCTCTGGTGCCTAAGATACGCGCACGCTCGTATTTGGTCATGTAGGGTGTGGTAGTTCTTTGCTCCTTTGGAATTTTCTTGTCCTTGGGCGCAATGTTGCTTTTGGCTCGATTGGCAGCATGCACATCTCCCGATGTGACGACGCCGCGCTCGCCGGTAGTGAGGAGCTGATCGGGATTCTGGGTCGATACGGCGACATCGTCTACTTCGCCTGTGGAAACGTTGTTCATGTCTTCCATTCCCTCGGGATCATACTCGGGCTCCTCGGCCTCATCGTAGGCTGGGGAGAAACTGGGGGAGATGCGTTAGTTATGGTTTGGAGAACAGCTTTGCGAATGGACAGTCTGAGTATGTTGAGTATGTTCTATGTGGGAAGAAAGCAACTCACCCGCCATCATAGTTCTCTTCGTCGTCAGACATTTTGATATGTGATAATTAATGAGGGTGTTGTTGAGAGTTTTCTTTGTTGACGGGAGATTTAGTCGGTGATGGATGAAGAATCTCAAAAATAAATTTGGCGCGGCTGATTTCTTTGCGCCTCGATTATTCGAGCTCCATATAATATAAGGTTTGGGTTTAGCGCGCTTTCATTTATTAGCGTGCCAAGATTTCGAACCTCTGCGATAGCCACAATAATTTTATGAAATATTTCGGATAAGGTGATGGATGCAGTTTGAATTGAGGATTTTTGAAGCCAATTCAACAACGTTTGAGATCAGCAATGGCGACAAATACTAGAAAGAGAACAGGAGATGATTCTCTAGAGCTTTCTACGAAAAGGTTACGAATTGATGCCTCGAGTTCTCTGCCAGGTTAGTGCAAATAGTTCCTGGTCTAGACTTCGATTTGGGAACTCGAGATTGACGATCACATAGCGGCAGACGTCCTCAATAGTGATAATGATAATGAATACAAGCCGGAACAAGATCAAATATCGGAAGAAGAAGAAGATACTATGGAAGCAGCAGATACACCGAATACACCATTTTCACCTGTACCTGGAAAAAAATTCCCATCCGAGTATAAGACGATAAAATGTACTTATGAAGAATGTACAAAAACATTCAATCGACCTGCACGATTGGCAGCACATCTACGATCACATGCCAATGAACGGCCATTTATATGCTCATATGAGGGATGTGATAAGGCATATATTGAGGAAAAACATTTGAAACAACACATCAAGGGATCTCATACTCACGAACGAGAATATACATGTGATTGGGAAGGGTGTAGTAAAAGTTTCTTGACGGCCACGAGGTTAAGAAGGCATAAGGATGCTCACGAAGGCCATGAAAGGTTCAGATGTACATCATATCCTCCCTGCAATCAGACCTTTCGAAAACATCAAACACTCCAACGCCATATTCGTTCCGACCATCTCGATCTAGCTCCATTCCCATGCACATATATCGATCCAATTACGAATGAACTTTGCAAAGCAGGATTCGATGCTTCAGGCGGCCTCAAAAAGCATATGGAAAGAACTCATGGAGCAGCCACGTTTCTATGCGAAGAATGTACAGTGCCAGGAAAATTCCACGAAGATGGTACACCCGTACCGTTAGCTTTCACAACGAATGCCAAGTTACAAGCACATATCAAGAAAGAGCATGCAAATTGTATGTTCTGTGATCGAAAATGTTCCAGCCAACAACTACTTCAAAAACACATCGATACTCAACACTCGGGCACTACACTTGAAGAACGTAAGAATATACCTTGTGAATATCCAGGCTGCCCGAAGACCTTTACCAAGAGAGCGAATCTACAAGTTCATATGCGCACTGTACATGATGGACAGCGCTTTATTTGCGGAACATTTGATGTTTCCCAGACTCCCGACCTCGCATCTTGGAATGGAAGCGATTCATGCGGTAAAGATTTCGTCTCGAAAGTTAATCTTGAAGATCATGTTCGAACACATCATCTCGGCTTACCCAGTATTTTGAATGCGAGAGGTAGACGAAAGACTGATTCACAAATTAGACGTTCTGCGAGAAGGGCACCCGAGCAAACCGAGATTGAGGAATTGGCAGGTTATGATGCCAGAAGAACAATTGATTGTGTAGTTCAGGGATGTCCTCATAAATTCATGAGAGATTATGATTTCCATGAACACATGAGAATTCACCATCAAGATGCCGGTTTTATGGACAGTCAGAACGATATGAATCTAAGTATCGATATGAGCATGATGGACCATTTCTCCTACACAGATAATGGAGGAGAATTGCCAAGTCTAGATTTCATGAATGATGGTACGGGGATGGATATGAGCGCTCTAGATATGGGAATGGATTTGATTGATCCAGCATTGCACACACCCAACTTCAATCTTGAAGTATCGGCATCGGGATCGGCAGCAACCTCTGTAGCACCCTCAATCAACGGATGGGATACCGCAGATGTAGCGGCTGAAATAGATCTGGATTGGGACTTTCAAAGACAGGTATTGGAAGGAGGACGATTTTGGATTGGTGGAGATGAACAGCAGATTCCTGGGGGCTCACAGGAGTGGTCACGAGATCAGGCAGAGATGAGGAGTTTGATTGATTCATAGATGCTATCTGATGAAGGTCTGGACCTTCGACCGCCAGGACCTTGGCCTCGGCTTAGTCATCGGACTTGCGATAGGTCGAAGATATAAGCCTGAATATCTCGAGGTATTTTACATTGCAAAGAGCTATCTGCTGGCCGAATACAGCAAATTACATCAAATACTCGCCCTCTTCGCTATGTCAATCAGTTTGGGGAGTATGATGGGGTAGCAATAGAAATCCATAACATGATTTTCTTACTTACTTAGGGAGGGATAAAGCGAAAAAAAAGAAAAGATCAGAGATAGCAAGCGCTGCATACATCTCTACGATGTCGTTATAGCTGGACTATGCATTGCATTGTAATGCATTGTACGGAATTGTACTATACTCTACTGTATTACATTACTACCGAAACACAGACTTGGAGGAGGAAAGAAAGGGGTAGCGGAGAGACATCTACCCACCTTATGACGGAATACAATGAATTAATCATGTTACACATGATTATAATAATCATACTTACAATATCATCACAACTATTACTCCTCGCTTGCTTGTGAGTTGTCTCCATTGTTAGTTACTTGGTCAAACCCTAACCCTGCTCGTGAATGGAAAGAGAGAGGGGGAGGTACGATCAAGTCGTGTATACATACATGTATTCCATCTCATCTAACCACACCTAACCCCATCCACACCCCGATTCCCCAACAAACAAACTTCAATATCATAAATCGATCAATCAGGTAGTCAATCACAAACGCTGATTGTGCCAATCAAGCATACATGTACCCAACTTTTTCAAATCATTCCATCCCCACTCTACGCTATACCACACTACACGATCCCATACAATAACTCCTTTCCTTAACCGAGAGAGCAGCTACTCAAATTATTCCTCGCTGTGTATTTACGCATTTAGTCTCATCTCATCTCATCTCATCTCATCCCTTCCGCACCATACCATACCATACCATACGTACTGTGTTTGTATCGTATTATAGAAAGGGAAATACAGATGCAAGTATAATCTATTCTCCCCTACTCTAATGCTATTTATGGATGTTATCACTATTGCTATTGATGCTATGCATTCATGCCCATGTAATCCTTATACCCATCTCCACACGCATCTGCATATGCATTTGCATATGCATTTGCATCTGCATCTGCATAACCTAACCTGGCCTAACCCATCCCAATACAAGAGAAAGGAAAAGAAAAACAAAGAAAGGAAAAACAAAAACAAACTCAAACCTCTACCCATCCCAGCGCATTCGCTCGCTCGCCCACCAAAACCCCACATCCCAAACATCCCTATCTCAATAATTTCAACCTCACCAATCCATCCGCCGCTCTTCTCGATAACTCTGGACTTCTACCCCTTTCACACACATTTCTCTCCTCTTCCGGTTGCGCAAAAATCATCGGTGGATTCGCAAGTCCTATTTTTTGTCTTTCTAAAATCGGGGTTCTTATCTTGGTATTCTCCTTATCACCTATCATTTCGTATTTTCTTCTTGCGACTTCTTGTTCGAAGTTGATTATAATTTTTGTGTCTGTTTCTTTGAATTTGGGGTTGGATTTGGAAATGTTATTAAGAGCGGGAGTAAGAGGATGTGCATGACCCAAGCCCGAGCCCGAACCAGAATTCGAATTTGAATTTGAGTTGGAGCCAAAAGAAGTACACGAAATAGCAGAATCTCTTCTTGATAATGAATCCGATTCTCTTCCGGATAAAGGGGGGCTAGAGGGGATATTGATATTCTCATCACCATCCTCTCTCCCCCTGCTTTTCTCTCGGACAAAAACGTGTGCATTCTGATTCGTGGAACCAGGAGCTTGTATATTAATAGCTGGAACTGCTTCTCTTCCAGTATCCGTACTTGGCGCGCCAGGAAGTGGTGTTCGTCCCATACTCTTCCCATAAGAATATCTGCGAAGACGAGCAAGAGAAGGAAGTTTTGGTGATGTAGAACGCACTTGCAGACGTGAAAGAGGTAGGTCGATTTGGTTTGTTTTTACTTTATAGTTTGCGAGGGAAAGACGGAGACGTAACGCTTGGGATTTCTAGAGGTTGGGTTAGCTTTTTCATTTATTAATTATAAGAAGGGAAGGGAACAAACTTGACGGATTTCTTCGTGTGATAGAGATGTTGATTTAGAGGTTCGGAAGGTTCTTGGAGTGGATATAGTTGTGGGTATGAAAGATGATTCGTTGGATATGATACTTTCGGTCAATTGGGAATTATTGCTGATGATAGCTGCGTCTTCTGCGTTTACTACGGAAGGGGAAGATAATGACGAAGAAGCAGATATGGAAGAGCGATTTGGGGAAAACTGCTTTTGAGGTGACCTTAATGACATCTATATATGTATATTAGTAAACTAAAGTTGCCAAAACGGGTAACAAGTACACACCTTTTGTTCTTGGCCACTTCCCAAGTCACTCGACTCATCTGTTATTCCAACTCTCTCTTCACACATTTTCGCCTCGGGACCTGCTCTGGCTGGTGACGATGTGGGTTGTAACGACGTAGATTGCGGGAGCAAACCCACACCTGCGCCAGACTCTTCAAGCAGCGAAGAGTTTCCCGATGATGGTACAATTCTGCGTCGCTTCGCACGGGATTCTCCCGGTCGGCTCGATACAACATCTTGTGATTGTACAGTACGTGACAAGCGTCTCTTTGTGCTAACCAAGGAGGCCCGCTCAGTAATTGAAATGTCAGCGCCGTTGATTGTGGTAGCCTCCAAGCCTTGATAAACGTTATCTTGATTCGCTGCCCCTTCCATATTTGCAACTCGGGAACCCGTACTCGTGTTCGTCTCCTCCCAATTTTCCCGCTGTAATTTCGTTGTCGAATGTCCCACCACTTGCGAGGGGTCAAGTGGAACTCTTTCGGGGTGGTTACTAAATGATACTTTCTGAATCTTGGTATCTCGCCATAGCCATTCATCTCGGGATAGCCTTTCATGATTGCTATCAGTGACTGAAGTATTGATATTGATATTGAGATCTCCCAAGACGCGACGCGTAGTTGATGATTTTGGTGAAGTCATTGTGAAAAGTGAAGGGAATGACTTTAAAGCAAAGTAAACAATCGACTAAATAATAAATTATAGAAGTGTTGACTTTGGAAAGCGCGTTCGTGGTTGTTTGTAGTTTCCTGAATATATCTATTAATCCACGATTTACCACCACCCGGCCATACTTTTGGCAGCGCTCACTCTCCAAGAACTTACAGATATATCTCCGGTTCAGCTTTTGAGAAGAATTGATAATGAATAAAATGTAACTTCAGATATCTAATTCCAACCGAGATTCAAGAATAAATATAAGTAAATATTCAACTATTCTTTCTGATCAGACTTTCAAATCGCGTCTAATGATATAATGCGGGATCTCTCAAGACGCGATTCTTGGGCAACTTTTATTACAATTCTGCCACTTCCTAATAGACCGCCTTGATGAAAAAATGAGGGGCTAGCCGAACTCTCAGATACCACCATGAGCAATTTATCACGTGCTAATTTCATCTCATCTCTACAGGGTAGACGGGGTATTTACACACACTGACCCATCTAAAATGTCATCTCACAGGCCAGGCACAACAGGGTCTTTTAGAAGGCGCCACACAATAACCAACCATATCAAGCTGGGATCCCTTCCAATCCTTCCACCCTTCCACCCTTCCACCCCTAAAGCCATTGCGGCCCGTCAACCTTAAAAAAAAACTACCTGGACCTGGCCACCCGTTGCAAATGCACATCGTGCCTTGAAGATCAGGGTCTTGCAGGGAACTAATTCAGAACCTTGATGCTTCAATGAAAAAGTGGAAAGCATGGTTGGAAATGATCTATACCGCATGTTAGAATTGAGATTCTACCAATAAAAACAAAAAAGACGCACACACATATATAAACATTCAAATAGAATAATCGTTTCTTTTATTCGCATCAACTGCAATCAAAGTATTTTACAGCATGTATAATCCAAATCGGATTGAAAACAGATGTAACTAACTCATGCTTCCCATTTCGTTGCACCACCCATCTCAAACGAGAAGAAAGACCAAGAAAGAGTAATATATATTTGTCCAAGAAGGCCCATTATAATCATGATATGTAATAATAACCAAAAGCTTATTCCAGCCAAGGAAGATTCTTCACCCCACTGAACGCCCTGCTAAAAACAAAAGTGCTAGGTGAATATCCTATCCTTCCCCCCAGTAGTCTTATCCCAAGACGCCGTGCTTTTCATTGGTATATCATCTCATTGATTTTCCAAAATACCCTGTAAACCCTTCCCACCAGAGAAACGCCCTCCAAAAACCGTGATACAATCCGATTTACTCAACTAGATATCCATCGAATAATGCTCATCTATGTTGAATTGAAACGGTTCATTAAAATTTACTTTGCCATCCATATCATCCCATGTTTGTGGAGCGTTAGCAAACTCCGCATCATCAAACATGGTCAAGTCTTCATCAAAATTTGCGTCGTAGGTGTTGGTGTGATTTTCCACAAGAGCATCAGTATCACTGAGTCCGAATGGAAACCATGCCTCATCAAACACGTCCAAGGCAATGTCCAAGTTGACCCCTTCAGAGATATCACTAGTGGGCTCTGATACACCGTCTTTACTCGATTCTGGAGTATCATTTGGTGTTATGGACCGGTAGTTATTCGCATCGGAGATCGCCCCGCCAGCGCCACCTTCGAATGGCTGGAAAGCGCGGATAAGCTCATTAGGATCGATTGTAGCATTTGCCCAAGGATCCGAATTAACTTCTTGAGCTGGTGCATTCGATTCATCCTTGTTCATACCTTTCTGGGACTTGGCTGTATCCGTAACCAAACCAGACTGGTGCTTGACTTTACCTTGCATCATGCCACCCTGCAAATTCGTTGAGTTTTGACGATTCATAGGCGTAGCAGCTGAAGCAGATGGAGTGGCAGTCTCAACCTTCGGTGTCTGACCTTGGTTGAATGACGTAGCTGCATCCGTAGTCGCCATTGCTGGATTTGACTGATTTTGAGAATCCAGACCTAGAACTGGTCGGAGATGATCCTCAGCAAACTTCTGTGGGTTTTGCATTGGTAGCCTGTGCTCCACTTGAGTATGACGAGCAAGCTCCTCTTGACTTTCGAATCCGGTGTTTTGGCGTTCGCAAACCTCGTCGTTACATGGCCAGGTCGGCTTGGCCGGAACCTTTGGCTCTGGAATTTGTTGACGCTTGACCTCCGGTGAGGGGACTTTGGTGATCTGGGGCGAGGAAGTCGATCCTGGAGTGCCTTGACCTTGGCCTGGTGTTCCGTTTGGCTTCTGCTTCTTACGTGCGGGGATATGGAGTTTTTCCGGAGTGAAAGCAGGAGGCTTCCCAGGATATGTAGGCTGACCATGAGGAGACGAAGCTCCAAATGGAAACGGTGGCTGGGATGACGTAGGGGCTGCAGGGGGGTGAGAACCGCGGCTATTCGATCTTTGGTGGTTCATCTTGAGCAACTGCTGCTGCTGCTGCTGTAAATTGGCAGCATTAAGTGGCACGCCTGCCTCCGAAGTTTGGGCCGTCGATGCACCAGATGGATTGGCTGATGCACCTTGAGGATCTGACGATCCACCATTCTTCTTAAACATTGGATTTTTATTGACGATATCCATTACCATTGTATTAAGAAACGTTTTAGCTTGCTCCACATCAGCGGGCCTCATCGAAAAAGTATCTTTGAGTTCCCTCATAGTACCGGGGTCTTTGAATTGCTTCGTCAAACGACATCGCTGAAAGGGGTTAGCGCCGTTCATTAACTTGTGGATCAGCCCGGATTTCAAACTTACAGCACGGAAAAATAATTTAGCTCGAGAATCATCACGAGTTTGTTGATACCACCTTAACATGGCCTTCGAGACGTTGTTGAGATGAGCAGGCATAGGTTCCAAGGCCTTGCGCATGCTTTGCTTCGACTCCTCATCCATAAAAATCTCACCGGGTGGGTTATCGTTGTAAGCCTTTTCTTCTTCGGCAGCAAATTCCTTGAATTTTCTGGTAATCATTTCCACCTCAGGGTTGCTTGGTGGCTGCTGTCTTGCGTTGAACATTCTACGTAGAGTAGCCTCGTAGGCTTTCTTTTGCTCTGGATCAAGTTTCGCTATCTGTTCTGGTGTGAGCCGGGTAATATTTCTCTGCTGCGGTGCTGGCGCTGGGCCCTGTTGTCCATTGGGATTTGGCACTTCTACAACATCATCGCTACTAGCTCGTTTCAGATTATTCTTGGAAGGTTGAGCAGGTGACGAGTTCTGTGCGGTTGCTGGCTTGTTATTTGGTGGAGGCCGGGGGCGATTAGCAGGTGTAGGAATGGGTGTGCCTGCAGGCTCTGGCGCCGAAGTTGCTGGCTTCTGCTGTGGCATCTGTCCAGATGGTTGCTGTGTTGTCATCATTTGGGCTGAGTTCGGCAGTCCCTGCATCGTGTTTTGTGGAATCTGTTGACCATTCGTCTGCGCCATGCTTGCTGCCATTTGACGACGTTGCATATGATTTTGCATCAGGATATGTCGGAGTTGGTCATCAGTGGCGGCAAGAAGTTTACCACTTGGGTGATTACGAAGGTTCGCAATGTCCTGGGGTGTGAACTGTCGCATTGCTCCAGGACCCATATTCATTCCCATAGGCATTTGAGTAGGATTCTGGCCCATTTGGGCAACAGGAGCCGACATTCTTGGAGGTGCCATAGGCATTGCATTCTGACCTGCGACTGGAGTCTGCGTGGGCATTGGGTTGAGCTGCTGTTGTGCGGCTCGTCTCGCTTGACTAAGCTGCATCAAGTGCATCTTTTGTGCGTTCTTCACGGAGTCGAGTGCCTGTGGTGGCATTGTGGGAGTCGAGCTAACCCATTGTTTCAGTTGGCCCCACTTCTTGACCTCTGGAGGGATTCCTTGTAGCATCTGGTTATTAGCGAGAAATTGTGCAGGGATATCCATATTGTCCATTTGTTGCACCAGTCTGTTATTATCTGCAGGCAGATTTCCAGGCCGGGGCTGCATGCCTGCATTCTGAGCCATTTGTTGTTGTACGATCAGTTGCTGTTGTTGCGCAGTCAGATTGTTCAACAATGATGCAGGGGGTCGCTGTCCAGGGTGTGTCATCATAAACTGACTTAAAGCATGTTGCTGTTGCAAGAGTTGTGCAGACTGTGGTCCCGGTTGTCCTTGACGGAGTGGATTATTATTCCCTTGAATCGCCATTTGTGGTGCCTGTTGCATTGGATTCTGCTGCTGCCGGGCCTGCCAATTTTTCGCAAATTCACTCATCTTGTCAGGTGGCAAATTTGAGAAGTGTTGGCGCTGTTCTGGGCCCATATCTCGCAACATTGCGGGGTTGAATTGATTCATGGAATTACCAAACATCCTTGGGTTAGCGAAGCGTGGATCCAGTGACTGGCCAAATGGTGGATTATGCATCATTCCACCGGCCTCAGGGTGGCCCATCTGCTGAGATGGCGTCCTCATGGGAGCGTTGAGCGTATTCATGGCAGGGCTCTGTTGTGATTGCATGTTCCCCGGACCCATTCCACCAGGCTGACCTTGCAGTCCCATCTGTGCCTTAGCGGCCGCATTTGCACGAGCTTGTGCCTGCTGTGCCTGCTGTTGTTGTTGAAATCTCTGTGACTGTTGAGCATTAAACATTTGGACTTGTTGGGCCTGCGTTCTCGCCATGGGGTTCGAAGCCGAACGTTGTTCGTTCATGTTGATCGCTTGTCCTGGCATTGTAACATTAGGTTGAGGAGTGTTATTCCTTGGCGCACTGACAGGTACAACAACCTGACCTGCTTCCTGAGCCAAGACCCCCGCTTGCTGCTGTTGACCGATTAAGTTTTCCATATTGCCCAAGAAAGAATTAAAGTCTGGGCCCCCGCCCATGGTTGTAGGGGGTTGCGATTGACCGTTCATTGGGCTTGGGTTCATGGAACGCTGTTGCTGCATGGCCGGAGCCGTTGCAGAACCATTTTGTGGGTGCTGTGGAAGTGTAGGGTGTTGTCCTTGCCCCATCGGCAAGTGACGATGACGCCATCTATTCATGAGTTGCTGGCGATACCATAGAAACGCGATGTCTGCTCCACTCTGTTCCTGCGATTGGAGTTGCTGTGGAGTCATTTTTGCCCTCAAGGTGTTCCGGATGTTAATTTTATCATTGTCTGATGCTTCGCTGCACATTCTGATGGCTTCTCGATTCATTTCCTGCATCTCGTTTGGCGTCGGTGTCGGTTGTAATTGTGGCTGGCCATTCATGGGTCTGCCAGATGCGTGCTGAATTTGATTTGGCATGCCATTTGCTTGCAACTGTGGATTCTGAGGCATATTCTGTGGAAGGGAATCATTTGGGAGGCCGTTCTGCATGGGCTGAGGTTGCTGAGGGGGTAGAGGCGACGCTTGCATCTGGTGTTGAAGATGTTGAAAGCCTTGCTGGGGAGGTTGCTGAGGAATGTTTCTCGGCATTTGGCCTTGCATGCCATTTTGATTCATCATCATCTGCTGCTGCTGTTGCTGCTGGGCTTGGGCTTGGGCTTGTGAGTTGACTTGTTGTTGCATAGTTTGCTGGGATTGCATTCGAGCTTGCTGTAAGTCACGCTGCTTCTCGGCCATTTTATTTTTGTAGGAACCCTAAACTCATTAGCTGTGAGCCTTCAATTATTGACATGAATTAATACTTTATCGGGCGAGGTCAGAAATGCTTCTTTCTCGAAGCCAAGGGCAATGTCAAGAAGCTTAAACATGTGCTGAGGTGTGTTTTGACCTTGAGAAATAAGTCGTAAAGCACCAATTCTACATAGAAGTTAGTATCAATTGTCCAAGATTTACGTGCTGTATTTAAAGCTTGTTTGAAGATCGTTCTGATAATAGATCACCGAGACTAAGACTGCGAGAACTGGAAACAACTTACATATTGAAAACGACTGCCATACGTTCTTGACTCGACACTATTTGCTGCCATCCTGACGGTGGTGGTCCTTGTTGTTGAATCTTCTGGAATATTATATGATTTAATTGCTGGGGTTGTCGATTTGGATGCATTTGCATGTGAGCCTGTTGTTGTTGTTGTTGTTGTTGCTGCTGCTGCTGCTGTTGCTGTTGTTGCTGAGGCATCATCTGGCCCGCACCACCCATTTGTGGAAAATTTGAGGCCATCTTGGGATTCGGTGTGGCAAGGCCACTCTCCTACTTAGAGGAGGACCGACTTGGAATTCGAATCAGACCGCCAACCCAAGATCGAAGGGCGGAATAAATATAGCGCGTGTTTACCCCAAGGATGGTGGAGAGTACACGGTACTAGTTGAAGAAGGTTGTGAGATTGAACCTGTTGTTGCTTTTGGCACCAGGCGGGGGAGGTTAAAAGTCCTATAGATTGCTGACAATAGGCGGCGAGCCGTCAAATAGCTGCAGGCTGCCACAGTTACATTCGAATAGAGCTAGACCTTGTGTTCCATGAAAAGTCCTTATTGGAAATGGTGCCTTCGTTTGCGACGCACTCTGAAGTGTACGAGAATCGAATATTAGGTATCGAATGGGGAACGACGGAAAGATAAAGAAGCAATGACAAGTACTTTGGACGTCGAAGGATGAGGCTGTAAAATGGTAGATGTGTATGTATGTATGTGTGTGAGTGTGTGAGTGTGTGTGTTGAGTAAAGTAAAGAAGGTTCAAGGTAGGAGGAATTAATCTGATCGAGGTTGACTGCGTTTAGGTGCTCTGGAAAGCCAGCACATTCGGTGAATCAATGAATTGATTTGATTAATAAATCGACTAGCCGACTATTCATTCGATACCTAGGTGAGTAGCGTTTAGAGTGAATCAAATACTATCAAGTAGGGTAGGCAGGTAGTATGTGAATGATGATGCGATAATCGATTATGTATGTATTTGAATATCCCTCTCTTTTTTGATCTTCCTTTCGAATAAAAGAAGTATAAAAATTATGTGCACATATTTTACCCTCAGTCCATATATGTTGAGAGTTGTCCCGCGTGTATCGTTTTGTGAAGGAGTTGTTCAGGATGTATGAAAAGTGTGCGTGTGTATGTGTATGTGTATGTGTATGTGTGTGTGTGTGTAAGTGTGTGTGTATGATGGGATGTATGGTATGGTATGGTATGGATGGATGGATGGATGGATGGATGGGGATGAGTTCAAAGTTGTGGGCGGAAGTAAAATGTAAGTGAAATGGCAAGGGCAGAGAAGTGATACCGAAGCTGGGCTGGAAATGACTACGCTAAATTCGATGGTGCAGGGTTGTGATTTTTTAGTGTCATTTTAATGCTTGATATGCTTGAAATACTAGTCACTTAGTAAGGTTGCTTAAAATGTGTGTGTATGGGTGTGGATACTTTAAATGTACAGTGTACTAAAGAAGAAGATGATGTTGGAACCTCTCTCCGTCTGTAGTATTCATTTAATTAATTCCCCAAGTGGGTATATTTGGAAAACGAATTGGCCGCATTTATGAGAAAGATTGAGTGAGAGTGACGACGTAAGTTTGAATTGGTGATTGCATGAAGGGGGTGTGCCTAGGTCAGAGAGGGAGGTCGCGTCGAGAAGAGAAGAGAAGAGAAGGGAGAGCAAGAGCAAGAGAGAGCAAGGACTAGTACCGTTACAAAGGTAAAAAGGTGCGAGGGAGGGATGAGATCTATCGGTCGGTATTGATATTCTACCAAAGTGGAGCATTAGAATGATCGATCTATTTATTAAGTGGGTTTAGTTTGTGTATAGTCACCACCAATTCAGTGATAGTCACTCATTCAAGCTTTCCACCTTTCCACCTTTCAAACAGAGGAGTACAGAGGATACTGTCCTGTACTGTACCGAGAGAGTAATAATGTACACCAGAGAACAGATTTGAGTTTGTTTAATTTGTTATTATTGTTGTTTGAAAAGTGGCTGTCGGTATACCAAGCCATACAATATCTAGGTAGGTAGAGTGGGTGGGTACTACACCATAAAATATCAAGCATCAAGTACTCGAGCAACTGCCTACCTAGTAGATTTCTGTCGTGTCACATAAATTCATAGGGTTTGATTCGGATGATTTGAATCATTGGGGGAACAGAGAGCCAGAGAGCCAGAGAGCCAGAGACCGAGAGACTGTTAAGCGCCCATTGTTGCTCGAAGAGAATCAAATGGTGAATCCTACAGAATCAGACGTGTATCTTCTACCAATCTGCCAATCTGCCAATCTGCCTACACACCTGTACTTATTATCCCTTCACTACCATCTCCATATGATCTACTACCCCCAAAAATGAATCGGTGAGATCGTGATATCGACAGATTATGAATCATTAATCGCATTTCAGAGTCCATCACCTAGGTCCTTACTGTACTCGACTGACCAACTTGGTATTAATCCGTTCCTCAAATGATGTGCGTCCCTGCATGGGTTAGGAAGACTAAGGAAAGTCTATCTATGGCGTGGTGGGAATAGATCCCTCGTAAGGAAGTGTGTCGATTGACTGTCCAGAGTATGGAAATCTTCCAAGTTTCTTTTTCTTTCCAATGAAGTATCTAGGTGCAGCAGGACTATTTGTTGATTTGATGATATCCAACTGCCTAGGGAAGGTTCGAGTAGATGTGCAACTGGGAATTTGAGTGTCGCCCCAAAACCTAGGAATGGTAAATATGCTATGTGTCGGGATAATAAGCTTCGTAATCTACCTAGTAATCGGTGTCGGTAGCTAGATTGAGGAGATGTCGATGCTAATCTGTATGGGAACAGTAGAGACCCACAGTTTAGTTGGCTGTCAATGGTAGCTCACAGTACCTCACCTCTTCCCTCACCTCTTCTCTCGGCGAGTATTTCTTCACCCACAAGGGGATCCATCGTCTGCTTTCTCATCTGTGTCGTTCTCTCTAGAATCATACCTAAGTGTAATAAGTACATAGCTACGCAATCTATTTCTCTCGTGCAATCTTCATCAACGAATCACGATACATCAATCAAGTAACGGCCATCATTCATTTCTCAAGAGACCGCTGAAAACTACTCAGCCCTAGTTGGATCCTTGGAATCCCAATGCGGTAAGAGTTTACTAATTGATTTTCTTGGGATGGATGGCACACAGAGTATTCAACCTTTGTCCATCCGTGTAGTCATGGGGTCATTCAATTGGATGATGGAAATTGAGGCTGTCTGACGGTGACAGCACCAAGAATTCGAAAATCGAGGAAGAGAGATTGCATGATTGTCGGTGACTGACTGCAGATGGGGTAGGTGGGTAAAGTAAATTCTTGAGGATGTGAGTGTGGATGTGGGTGTGGATGTGGATGTGGATGTGGATGTGGAGGAAGGGAAAATACCCATTTCTCCTTTGTTTGTGCTTTCTGGTTTACGATTTATGGACACAGCACAGATGGAACAAATGAGGGGAATCCCAATTCATTCATTGCTGAACTGGAATAATAAAGTTGCGCTAACCACTGGGCAGAAGGATGATTTCCCTTCCTGGCTTGACAAGAGGGAGACAATATACATGCTAGGTAGATGTACACACAAAAAGTATTCGTGCCGAGTTCTTTGGCCTGGGAAATAAGAAACAAATCACAATAATATCCTCTTCCTCAGCTGATACATTTTCCCATCCCTTCCCTTCCCATCCCATCCCATCCAAAACATGCAATCCTTCAAACCACTTTTCCGTCGCCCTCTCGTAAATGTATAAAGTAGATGGGAAGCATTGACATGGGCTGAGCTGGGGAGGGGGGAAGTGATGATCGCCAGAGAACCTAGCAAGGCAATGCAAATTGTACCACCCATTGCATCCCAATTCGTCTCATCTCATCCAATCAATACATGTCACGACTTTTGGATGGATTTGCCCAGGCAAATCTTCTCTTTTGGGGCAAGGGAAAGGGAAAGGGAAAGAGAAACAATGGTTTCATTTCATCACATCACGATACAATTCCAAGGTCTCTCTTTCGTTCCATCGCGAGTAAAATACATTCTCATCCTCGAATAATTGATTGATCGAATTAATTCATTCATTCATTCATTCATTCACTCATTCCAAAATGTGAAGAATAACATACCTCCTACCTACCTCCTCCATTTCATCCAAACGGAACTTTATTTCTTCTTCGTCCAATATGAAATCCTCAAAGTAAAACAATGTCGAGATGGCTGCATTCATGGCGCTTCTCTAGTGGCAAGCAATGCCGGGGAAACATTAACCTTTTGGTGTGATATCTAGATATCTGCCGTCGAATGAGAATCGTTGGATTTCTTCGGTGTCTGCAGGAACAGGGGAAATTTAGTTTTCTTTACGATATTGTGAAGCATGTACAGTGTGTACACTGTACGGAGTATCATTATTTCCCATCGTCCCGTTTATCTCTCTCGACATTTTAATATCAGATGCTTACAGACATTGGGTATGATCAAGTTATCTTACTTTACTTCCTCACCCATTGAAGAGTATCTATCTGGGTATCTGGGTCTCTGGGTCTCTGGGTGTACAAGACTTCATCATATAAATAGTGGTGTACGGAGGATTTATTAAACAGTTCAAATGACTATCTACCAAATGATGAGGTACTCATATGACTGACTACCAACCTCTACCTAGCCACCCAACATCAAGTTACTCACACGCACACGGACTCTCTCTCTCTCCCTCTCTCTCTCAATCGTTAGCAAACACGAATTCATCCTATGCTAACAAATGCGAATAAGGGTTACAACAGAGCAGATCTGATGTGTACTTCGTAACTGGGGACGAATTGCGGAAGTAAAACAGAAACCGCCATTCAAGGATTCATCTTCATCGCAAGGATTTACCTTGCTCATTGTCTCCGATTTTGTTTGGCCACGAGGTTTCATTCCATTAATTCAAGGTTGTTTTGGTTACATTGTTGCCTCACCTTGCTTTTTTTTCTACATGAAGCTTCCTGAGGCTTTAGAAATCAAAGTGTGTTATTATTGATAAGCAATTGTCTTTCAACTCTCCATTGTGAAGATTCTTAGCCACAGCCACTCGACCCCCACAAGCCACAATGTGGCTTTTCACCTTCCACACTTTACTTAGATAAGAAAGTACCTAGGCTTACCTCACTTGATATCGTACCTCACTTGGGGTTTTTAAGTGCCTACCACGCCTACCACGCCTACCTAATTGGTAAACACGTACTCTGTAGACTGGAGCTCTAACCGTGCGAGGCTGGTCGGTGCAACCACAAGTCAACACCTCCACCTTGGACGAATGTCCCACCTTTCAGATGTGAATCTCTTTGCAGGTGAAGTGAATTCAAAAGGAAGTTCCCAGTCTAATGTTGAGAACACCATCAACATCATCATTTTTCTTTTCCGTTACTTCTATTTCTGCGAGATACAATTCCAACCCTCATACCATATTTTGTAGATCTTATATCTCATCCGCTTACAAAATGTCAAACCGTAATCTATCAACTGCGGAAGCAAAGGCACACGATTTTCTCGATTTCCTCAATGCTTCTCCTGGCCGTAAGTAGAATTAATTAAATAAGCTATCAAGATCATAGCAACCTTATCTCTGCAGTTGTACCTAACTATTTCATTTAGCCTACCATGCAGTACACTCTGCCATTCAACGACTTTCCAAAGCGGGCTTCACAGAGATTAAGGAGCGAGATAACTGGTCTACAACTTTACAACCCGGAGGAAAGTATTATCTTACCAGAAATGCTTCTTCGATCGTCGCCTTCGCCATCGGCAAGAAATGGAAGGCCGGTAACCCAATTGCCATGATTGGTGCTCACACCGATTCTCCTACCTTACGTATCAAACCGGTATCCAAGAAACAGGCTTCTGGATTCATACAAGTGGGTGTGGAGACGTACGGAGGTGGCATTTGGACATCGTGGTTCGATAGAGATCTGAGCATAGCTGGAAGAGCCATGGTTAAAGATGGAGATGGAAATTTTGTACAAAAACTTGTCAAGATCGATCGACCAATCCTCCGCATTCCTACTTTGGCCATTCATCTCAATCGTGCCACAAGTTTCGATCCGAACAAAGAGACCGAATTGTTCCCAATTGCCGGTCTTGTGGCTGCCGAGTTGAATCGTACAGGAGCGAGCGAGAACGGACCGATTCCATCAGAAGAGAATAAGGATTCGGATGAATACAAACCCCTGCAAGCGATGACCACTCGTCATCATCCATATATTGTGGAACTTATTGCGAAGAACGTAGGTGTTGGTATTGATGATATCGTTGACTTTGAAATGATCTTATACGATACACAAAAAGCTTGTTTGGGTGGGTTGAACAATGAACTCATCTATTCGGGCAGATTGGACAATTTGGGCATGACCTACTGCAGCGTTGAAGGACTCATCGAATCTGTAAAGGATTCTGCTGCTTTAGATAATGAATCATCAATCAGACTAATCACCTGCTTCGATCACGAAGAAATTGGTAGTACATCCGCGCACGGAGCAGCCTCTAACCTTCTCCCCGCGGTCCTCAGACGTCTCTCCGTGATCCCCGCTTCCACTGCCGGGCCCGGCTCATCGTCTTCATACGACATGGTTCACCGTGAGTCCGACGTCGAAATTGCAACAGCCTACGAACAGACTCTCGCTTCTTCTTTCCTCATCTCTGCAGACATGGCTCACTCCATCCATCCTAACTACGCACAAAAATATGAACAAGACCATCGTCCTGAAATGAACAAAGGAACAGTCATTAAAATCAACGCAAATCAACGCTATGCCACCAATTCCCCTGGTATAGTCCTTCTTCAAGAAGTTGCACGCAAGGCCAAGCCTTCCGCAGATTCTAAGGAGGGAAAGAATGGTGTACCACTCCAACTCTTCGTGGTCAGAAACGATAGTAGTTGTGGAAGTACCATTGGACCTATGTTGAGCGCAGCTCTAGGAACAAGAACTCTCGATCTAGGTAATCCAATGTTGAGTATGCATAGTATTAGAGAATGTGGAGGAGCATTTGATGTAGAGCATGGAATTCGATTGTTTGAAAGTTTCTTCAATCATTTCTCGGATTTGGAGGGAAAGATTTTGGTGGATTAGTGGTGAGGGGAAGCATGGCTGTGAATATGCATGGGGTTGCAGTACGAGGTTGGGGTTAGCGAGATGAAGTTCAGAGGATGCGGGGGTTTGGTGATGTCATTAACAGATGAAGGTCAGAGAGAAATGGATGAATTATGAGATATGAGATCAGATGGAAAGAAAAGAAAAGCCATAGGAAATGAAAATAAATCTTGAAATGATTACTTCAAAATGACATTGAGATGAGATGATTAATGAATTTGCATCGATGTATATACATACTATGCTATAACCAAAGTATCAGACAATAGTGATTGTATATATAAACAATCTCGAATCCCATTACCTATTCTAATTTATATTACTCTTCATTCTCTATTCTCTATTTTTCACTCTTCACTCTTCACTCTTCACTCTTCACTCTTCATTTTTTACTTTTCATTATTCAAAAATATCAATAATATCACATCACATCACATCACATCACATCACACTACCACTCAACTACGCAGATAGCCATCTCATCTCATCTCATCCCATTTCCATTCCCATTCCCATTCCACCGCAATCTCAGACTTCAGCACAAGATATATGAAAATCGCACCTATGGTGTAAGCAAGTGTGCTAAGTATCATGATAGATAGATACAGTAAAGTGTATATGTATGTGCTATACAAGGTAATGAATTCTCACATTCTCATATCAGAGCTCGAGTCTAGACTGCCCTCGGGTCCTAGACCAGACATTCTCATTCACATTCGCATTCTCTTTCAGTCTCAGTCTTTACTACCCCTTATCATTACAATCCACTTTATAAATACATCTCTTTCATAGTTACAACCCCCTCCCCTACATTCAGCCAGTCATTTCAATTCATTAAGCCATTCATACATCAATAAATATACTCATCAAACTTTTCAACCTTCATGCACCAATCTCATCCCATCAACCACAACCGCCACTATACACAAGCACAAGCAAACTTTTGAACATCATTCCCTAGTCTCGTCTCCCTAAAGTTCTCTCCTTTCATCCCAGCAAATCCCCAGGCACTAGCTTTAAAAAAAAAATCACAAAAATCAAAGGATGAGATATGCGACTTGCGGGCTTTCTAGTTACATGGAAATGCAAATCGAAGCTTAAATGGCAGGAGGCAGTCATGAATCGAGTATACCACTAGCACCATGCTAATTCCACAAATGCTCAATCAGAAATCAACAATCAAAGATAGCAAAGTAAAAGGCAAAAACGCATGATGGAGAAACATGTGAAAGTCAATGTACATGGATACATAAATGTGCAAATTTTTATTAGGGCCTGGTCCTTTTTCTAAGTCTCCAAAACATCTTTCTCTGCTTCACTTGGGAGTAAAGGAGTCTCTTTCGTGGCATAATTATCGTCCTTCTCCCAAGCTGCTCCTGGGCCATGGTAAGAAGGTTCCTCAATAATAGCTCCTTGGTTAACGGGTTCGGATCCGAAGGGGAGTGGTCTCGAGGGCATCTCGCGCGTTGGAATTTCCAATTTATTGGCTAGAACATCTGATTGACGCCTAGCAAGCATATCAAGTTGAGCTGCTGGGTCCTGTCCGGGTGTCAGTGAGAATCTTCCAAGATCTACTAATAGCCTATTGAAAAGTTTCAAAAGCCGTGTAAGATCGTAAAACAGGGTACTGGGGCCAAGGAAAAGTTTCTTGGGGTCTTCAAAAAGACTTCTGAAGGCATCAAAAGTTCCATTGAATTTATCAAAAAGGCTTACCCAATCTTGTTGTGCAGGAACACCTTCCGCAGGAGGTAATGCGCTATCTTCTTCTCTCTCTTCGCCCCAGAAAGTTGGTTGTGTTCTAACTGGTGCGGGGGTTACGGGTAAACTAGGCCGTTCAAGCTCTGTTGGAAAGTCTGTGAGCCTCATACTACGCCTACGGCCTCCCGGGCTGGAAATCTGTGATATACCTGTGCCGTATCCTTGAAGAACTTGGATGTTGCCTTTGCGATTCTTCGACATGTTTCCAATGTATCGCTCAATTTCTGGAACTTCATCCCACGCATTTCCTCTAGCATAAGTTTGCCATGGGTCGTTTGCACTCGACATGGTTGGAGTGGTAGGAGTAGCGGGCATGCTTCTTTCATCCTCGGTGGTTGCGACTACCGAACCGGCGACGGGGGTTTCTGGTACTGCTGTGTCATCATAATCATCTTCAGGGAATACTCTTGAGGGCACTGGTGGGTTAGCTTCCCATGGGAATATTGGTGCTGGTCTCTGCCACTTTGGAGTTTTTGGTACTTCGTAGTACATGTCACTGGGAGGGTCTGGGTAGCGGCTTGGTGCTCGGAATGGGGTAGCGTCGTTGGACATCTCATAATGGTTACCGGGGAGGTTTGAGGCTTCTGGTCTCGAATTTTGTGGTGGTGGTGCTCTACAGATCATTAGACAATTCCCTCTCATTTGATTGACAATGAAACTCACTTGCTGGCATCCCATGGTGAATATGAGATGTTCCGAGATTGGTCCAATTTTGCCTGTACTGGGGGATCATAAGCTTCTTCGTTTTCCAAGTTTGTTTCTGTATGGTCATGGATTGGTTCCTCTGCTGTAGTAGTAGTATCATTAATGGCATTAAAATGTTGAAATTTCTCACACTGGGCTCCTTTGGAATGGTCCTCCTGGGTCTGGGGCTGGAATTCTCCAAAAACAAGGTATTGTACAATAAGGGGTGCCGCTCCGTTGGAAGTTCCGGTCGCCGACTGCAGAAACATTAGCTTCCTCTACGATTGAAGATATCAAACTTACCGTTTGCTTGTAATGTTTATCATAAACTGCCCACCATCTTCCGGTCATCTGATGGTAAGGAGTGGCTCCAACACTGGCTTGTCTTCCAACTTTCCATGGCTTATCCGTTCCGATAAAGTGGGCGGCACTAATGCTAGATTGGAAATGTTGAAATGCGGGGAGATATTGGTAGTGGGCGGATGGGGTGACATTGTAAGTAAAGCTTAGACGGTTGTAAGTATTCTTGAAATGCATGTTAAGTAAACCTTGATCAGCTCCATCAAAAGAAATTCCTCTGTTTGCCATAGCCTCCAAAGCATAGTAGTCGCCCATATTTGGATTTAAAACCATAAGACCTGTGTTGAAGATATCTGGCCATCCGATATCTGGTGCGGCGGAAAATGGATTTGGTAGAGCAAACAACTCATCTGGTGCACGAAGAGCAACCATATCGGCATCCATGTAGACTATTCTTCGGAATTGTGTTTGCTTCCATAATGTAATTTTGGTGAAGGTAGAGTGAAGATCTGGGCGGCCCATGAGGTCAAGGTTGGCTGGGGATTGGTTGACGACTCGATCGACGGGAATAACAAAGTCGAAGTTTCTCTTGAATTACATGTTAGTTTGATTCCCAGGTTGTCCAAAAGTAGAGTACTTGCCTGAAGTTCAGTCATACTCTCAGAGGTCACCGAATCCACCGTGACAAGCACTGCAATTTTCTTGGTAGTACCAGCATCTCGTAGAGAATGTGCCAATACAAGAGCACCTGAATTGCAAGATGAGTTAGTGATTTCTGAAAGGTTTAGTATGATAAAACACACCTGGCAGGTAGGTGTCGGTCAAAAGAAGCTATTGCAAAGTTGTCAGTTCAAGTCATCCCATTCTTGTCGAGCTATGATGATAACTTACAGTTGCATAAACATCTTCTGGTTGGGAAGCCATTGTTTGTTTAGATATGAGAGGACTGTATTTTGATGTATAAGACAAAGAAGTCCTGAATATTCGAACAAACTACTACAAACAAAACTTCTACCAAAGTTGTAGAGTTAACGTGTATAGATAGGTATAGAGAAAAGTCGGGGGGAGGAGAAATAAATTGGAGAGATACGCGATGGATATTCTAAATAAATGGAAGTAAGCTATCAAGGTCAGAAAGAGGTTAGTGGAGATTGATTATGACGGTATGGTATGGTCATTCGGTTAAATAAATCAATCGAAAACGATGGTGGAAATGCTGGGGGAGGGGGAAAATGGGCGGTGGACGTGGATTAGATTGCTTGGATGTATGGATGTATGGATGTATGAATGTATGGATGTATGGATGTATGGATGTATGAATAATGTATGGATGGATTGGTACTTTTGTTTGGTGGGAACTGAATTGACAGGGAATTTGCTGGCGGTAAGAAGCATCAGTGAAGGGGAGGAAGCATGAAAGTAAGTAATATGAACGGGATATACAGTACGGGCTAATTATTCGCAAGACGGTGAAGTAGCTTGGGATCTAGAAAAGACAAGATGAAAAGGGAGAGTGCGAAGGGGGAGGGAGAGAGGAAAGAAATATACTCATATTCATATTCATATTCACATTCGTATTCACATCCATAGGTATTCATATTGACATTCACATTCACTCACATTCACTCACATTCACTCACATTCACAAAAATATACCCCTCCCTCGACCCTCAACCCCTCCATAATATTCATTCCATTCATTCATCTCTAACAAGAACCCAACGACCCAACAACCCAAAAACCCAAAAACCCAAACATCGGAGAAAGTACAGGATGCCATTTGTCAAAGATAAGACGATATTGACTCTTTTCCATTACGGTAACATTGTATGAATACTTGATCACGAACACCAAGCTGCCACGTACTTCCTCTTTCGCCTCCTTCATCAGACTAGTTTGGATATCTTTTATGAACTTCTCTCTACGGAGTAGATAGATTCTCGATGCTCAATCCTCAATAGCTGGCTGGCTCGGCCGGTTACCTAGTCGTTAAACTATCTCTGCGTTGGATGGTTGGAGATGAATGTTCCACCAAGATGCGTTGAGATGGAGACACCACACCACCACACACAACTCCAGATCCATTTTTTACCACCCGCATTTGAACCCTGTTGCGTCTGTGTACCATTTATTTTCCAAGATTCCCATGAATCCCATCCTATACGGAACCTCGGGGGTACTGAATGCTGTTTACCCCACTGTCTATCAACTTATCTTCTTCTTTTTACGAGAATGTCAAGAATGGATCAAAAAGATAGTCAGTCTTCTGATAACTTTTCACACCAATAGATGAGGAACATTGTTCTGAATCTACGAAAAACTTCATCAGGATGGAGAACTTTTTCTCGAGTCATCTAAACGCCTTCGTCAATTTCGTTCATGCATTTATTCATGTATGTCTCAAATTTCAAGCCCAATTCAAACACATTTCAACGCCTTATCTGCAGGTCAATTTCTGAGTGGCGTAACTTTACCACCCTTCATAATTGTATGGACAAGGGCCAGCTATTCTCAAGCCGTTCTATGCACACTGCACTGCAATGCTCACCGACAGCTACTAGTTCATGTGTCGGGTATCCACTACGAACATGAAAACGCACAGAAAAATATCAAGGAAACTTAGCTTATTCAAACTTCCAGTATTCTCCAATATGAAGTGATATCTTCATCTTCGGGTCGTTTTAGAACGAACGAGAGGGGTCCAAGTGGACGTTTTCTTTCTGTTTGTTGAGCGCATTCTTACTCACAGATATATGTATGCGTAGTTGGCATACTGCATACCTTATGTACAGTGCAGATAGTACATCGATAACTTCATGTACGGAGGGTTGTCTATAGTTGTGGCAGCTTCCTGTTCGATTGAAAATATAAATATATCAACATATGCTCCGCTTCTTCTTCGAAGATTTTTCAAGAAGCTTGAGCACAGGCTGTCTTTCTTACTTTGGACCCGATTATCTGTTATGCATTCAGATAAAAGTAGTATGTATGAAGCTCAGACTTGTATGTATCTACTGCCTATAGAAAATCATTGCGAGGAAATCATTTAGCTCGAACATTTGTTCTAGATCCATCCTAAGTAATCTTCTAAATGAGGGGTCTGCCTACGATATTCATTCGTCCAGTTGTCAAAAGAACTTCAACATTGGGCAACATTGGGTAGAATGACATACAATGTATCGGTTTTCAAAATATCTGATCTATTTTTTTAAAATATTGCCTGGGCTTGATCGTTCTCTATTCAGAATTGGAGATGGTGTGTTACAGGCTAGCATGATGATCTCTCGCCTTCTCACTTCAACAAATCATTGTCATGGTTCTAGTTGAATCATTCAGAATATCGCTCTCAAGTCTTTCAACTTAAATTAACTCCACCAGGGTTGTATTCGTATCTATCAGCATACAAGTGTCTCAAAGTCATAAGGAAATACCCAGCATTATTCACCCCGCTGGTTCCTCTATTCTCCGTCTTGTTCCATTATCTTCAGCATCCGTCACTTCTCCATCTTCTCTCGACTCCACTGACAAGTCAAGGATCATTCATAGATGCTCCACCTCCGATTTCAACCTTGCGCTTTTGTCAATCAGCCACAATCACCCAGTCATTGAGATGATAGCAGACTTAAAATCCTAGCGCAAATATTTTGAGGGTTCCAATGCAGCAAGGACTTGATTTCATCATTCCATGCCTGTCTCTTCAGCCTCGTGGATCGACTTGCGAAGTGAAAGCAACAAATTCAACCTTGTGCTCAATCTACCAGCTGTCGATATCTCATCACCTTTCTTCAGCAAATTGTCGTACAAAGCGCCCGTGGCCTTGGAATGTTTCCACATTCTGTCACGCGTGTCCCCAAATAAAATTCATGAATCCCGTGGGGTCGCAAAGTGAAAACTTTCGTAGTAATTTCTTACTTAGAGTTCTTTATTAAGGGTTTCGCGATGAATCGCTTGAACTTTCGCCAAGTAGTCGGCCGTTCTGTCAGACTAATTGAAGTAAGCGAGCAGTGCCTCGAGCTGGTAATTTGAGGTCAACTGTTGCACAGGAAACTAGATCATCGGTCCCTCTTGACGTTAATTGAGACCTTCTCATAGGGCGAAAAACTCTCGTGAAAGCCCTTGAAAGTGTGATCATTGTATCATGCTGGCCTTCTCAACAGGACAATGAACGGTGTCCCTTCTTCCCTTTCCTACTCCCGTCGTCGAGAGAGCGTATCTGAATTGGGGGAGGGCCCGATTTGTTTGCAAACACAAATTATGAGAAGTTTTTTCTCCATACGACGTGGCGTTTCTTTTCGGAAAAGCAAGTAAGCTTATAGAACGGTGAGCAACATGGTCAGGAGGGAATGTAAACTACATCCTTTCGTTAGATGTGCTAGGCCCAGAACATCCATAGACTTTGCACACTCCATGCTATGTAACCCATCAAACCAGCTCCCGAAGCTTGACACTCTTGGCGGATATAAATCGAACGATGCATCATCCCGATTATTGGAAAATATCGTCACTTCGATGTATAGTGTCACCAGAAATCAATATCAGTACTAATGGTGTACATGAAGCTATCGCGCGACATTATCGAGGAAGAGTGATACAGTGAACCTTGATTCTTGGGTGTTTCCCAAGGGGTACAGTATGGACGATTGGTAGATATGAAAGTGTGTTAAGGAACTGAAACGAGATCTATCTATAATTTATACAAAAACCAAACACCTGAGATCGGGAAAGATTCGGCGAAAGGTATTCAGGGCAAGAAAGAAAGATATTCCTTCATTTCTACACTTCACATTTCGAGCTTGATACGAGCTCGTATGCAGTCTCGATAAGAACCAAAACACTCTCAGAATTAAATCGCCTTGAATTCTCCCTCGATATCCACAATCTTTTCAACGGCTTTCTTATACCCCGCCTCATTTTCTAATCTTTCCGTGTAAGCAAAAAGTTCCGGATATTTGTCCTTCGTCAATCCAGCGCGCTGTTTAGCTGCTACAAGAGGGAATGACATGAGGATATCTGCACCGGTAAGATGTTCACCACAGAGATATTTTCCGCCATTGGGAGAGCTCCGGATTTGTTCATTAAGATAGGTAAAATGAGTGCTGAAATTTGGTTCCAGGTATGACTCGTGCACTTTTGAGGTTATCATGCCAGTAATAGGACGGATAAAAAAAGGAAGGTTGGGTGAATTAATCACTGGAGAGTTAGCAAGATTTGAGAATGCGAAAAGGAAGAACTTACTAGACATGATAAGGGCGACAAGGAGGGGAGGCATCAGAGAACCTTCGGCATAATGCATGTAGTAGCGGAAACGAGTCCATTCTTCGGTTTCGCCACCGAGAGTGTTTTCTTGACCGGGCTTCCAGCGGGTGGGGAGAAGGGTACTGCCGTGGGTGAAATGATCGAGGAGATATCTTTGGGGCGAGTTAGTGGTTATGCTTGGAGGGAATTCTTTTGGGTTTTGGGAAGCTAGGGAAATGGTCTCCAAAATTATCTTATCTTTCAGATATCTCATATCGAAATCCATGGACTATTTGAACTCCGCTATTTTTCAAGTACATTTTTAATTCCATATACACACCCCTCATCCAATTACTTTCCCCGTCAAAGAAGTAGGTAAACTTACTCAGTAATAAACGCACTCTCCGCCAAAACCACCGGTTCTGTGGCTCCCGCAGGTAAAATCGTAACGACGGGAGATTTTCCCAAGGCATGCACTTTTTTCAATTCAGGAGGTGCTTGTTTAGAGGGAAGTCTATGGATGATTTCTAGCTCGTAGGGTACTTTCAATTCTTCTAGAAGCCAGAGGATTCGTTGAGAGCGGGATTGGTTGAGCCTGGGTTTGTTAGTTTGGAGGGAAAAATGGGATGAGATGGATGGATAGATGAGGTGAGAGGAATGAGAAGAGGTATATATGTAGGAGGGAAAAGCAGGGGAGAACGGCTACCAGTAAAGTTTGATCTTTGGCTGATCTGACATGGAAGCCGGTGAAGACATGGCTACTTGAGTATATGTAATAGTTATTATGGATGATATGAGATTGATATAAAGATATGTTCCCTAAAATCCTGATCGGAATAGATACAAAAACATAAAGAAAAGAAATCAAACACTCTCATTCCAATACTCTCACTCGATTCCCCTCCCATAAACAAGTTTATCTCACTACCGATTAGCTCACCTCAGCCCACCTCGGCACAATCGATAACCTGTGATAAAAAGCTAAAAAACTGGACCATCCATCCCATCCGGCACATCGTCAATCAATCAATCAATCAACCAACTGCATCATCGCTCCAAAATCTCAGCCGTGCGTACGGATCATCGGCAAACGTTTTTCCGGCGTCTGAGCTTTCAACCGCGAACCTCTATTCACATGGGGCTTAATTACTGTATTTCCCAAGCTTGAACCAAAGAGAGATAAATCACACAAGCGTTTCTCTCATCCTCGCAACTTTACTCACAATGGCTGGTCACGATCATGGTTTGTCTATTCGCACTGTGCATATGGGATTAAACTAATCATGGGAATATAGTACTCGCGGTAGACCCCGCGTTGGTCAAATATAGCAGTATGTTCTTTCTGCATCTGGGACGTCCTGCGCTTTACGATGGCGATGAGGAGATTGTGGGGATGGGAAAGGGGAGAAGAAGGGGAACTAACGGGTGGTAGATATGTCGACCAATCGCCACAAGTATTTCCGATGGACGGGTCGCACTACTGCTATTTCGTTTGTCTTCGCAGCGGTCATTCCGAGTATCGTTGGGTATATGGCTATTAAGACTGAGGTAAGATATTCCGACGCCATGTGCAGGTTTTGGATTAGGAGATGGAGAATTGAAATGCTAATCTGAGGATAGGGAAAATGGGATATGAGAGGAAAGCGCAGGGGTGATACGATTGCGGAATTTTAGATGGGGAGGAAAAGGGAGGGAGAAGAGGATGGAGGAAATACGAGAATGAGGCAAAGATCGAATGTGGGAAGCTGTACATATGTGGAGGGAGATATCATGAGAGGCTATGGGATAAGAGAGAGCTATGGAATTGAGTTTGCATTCTTCACCATCGTCGTTCAATGCATGGTCATTTGATATGGGTATTGATATTTCCTCGGATTTGGTAATTTTCAGTATAACTTTTGCAGGACTGACCTAATATGTTTCTAAGAGACGAACCGATTACCACCCATCCGTTGTTGATACTCCGATAAAAATGCTTCAAGAGTTGAGATAGAATTGGAAAAAGTAGAGCATTCGCTTCCGATAAATCGTGGATGATTTGAGAAGAGATCATGTAGTGTTCCAAGGAAATTCGGTGCCGTCATTCGTAATAGCATGGTAATTGGTATCATATGTCTTCGTGCCTCCCTCAATATCGACCTCTTCCACCCCCAAAACCACCCCCACCTCCATACCCACGACCTCTTCCCCCGGATGGACCATCCGGTATCCTCTCTCCTCGTCTCCATTCTCCCATTGGTACACCACCCGCTCCGCCTTGACCCGTACCTTGACCAAATCCTCCTCCTCTTGAACCCCTCTCCCTCTATATCCACCTCCAAATCCATTTTCTCTCGGTCCCATCCCCCCTCTTCCCCCAAACCCACCCATTTCCGATCTTCCACCTGCAAAACCGCCTCTCGAAGGACCACTGGGTGGCGGCGCAACCCCTCCATCTGCCATTGGTGGTAAAATTGCGCAACAAACATAATCACCAATAACAAATCTTGCATCCTGCAGCGTCTTCTCTGGTTCCCCCATCAAACTCCCCGCCATGATTCCTTCTCCAACTATCGCACTCTCTTCCTCATCTGGTAAAATTCCTGGCCCCCCTTCCCCAATAACAACACTGCCAAGCTCCTTCGTTACATATCTAGCGGGGCCACTAACAGCAGGTCGTGAATCAGGAAATATAAGTCGATATGAAAGACGAGTTCCAATCGCCGGATCGGGAAGAAGATCAGGGAGTGCGGTGGCTAGTAAATGTGATAATTCGCGCAGAGTACATGATTGCCATGTAGATATATTAACGTGAAGAGGCAATTCACCATGTGGATTAAATTCTTCAATTCTATTGTCACATTAGAAAGAATACAAATCAATATTATGGGAAGGCTGAGATTTGTTTGCCTACCTAGGAAATGAACCATTTTTGTAGAAAAGCTTGAGATGAAATGGAACGGTAGTGTTGCGATCGATTTTTGTTAGAGTAGTGGTTGCCATATTTAAACCATGAGCTGGGATAGCTATGATGCTTTTAGAGGAAGGATGTTGGTGGTGGATAACTTTGAGGTGAGAAGTTCTCGAGGCAGAATCGAGGCCTCGTCAAAAAAAGGTTCAGCCTTGGGCTTTGTACACTTTCTGTAATCTGACGACAACATCTTCTACATTATCAACAATTCAATCTCTCACTCAATTTTTTCTATCTATCACATTTGGAAAGATAGAACAACGGAAAAAACGTTTATCGTAATCATAAATCACCAATTCAATTGCCATAAATACAATCATCAGCGGCGCAAACCATCACAACCGCCATCATGGATTTCGCATCTCTCATGTCGAAAGAGATATCCAAAAAGAGCGAATCTTCCACCGATACTTCTAAGAAATACATGAAACGATCTGAAATTGAAGCGGAACGACAGGCCAAATACCTCGCCGAACAACGCGCGATTGAAGCAGAGCGTGAAGCCAAATTAGCACAAAAGCGCAAGCGCGAAGACGAAGAAGAAGAAGCTGCTAAAGCTCGAGAAGAAAAACGTAGGAGATTAGCTGAGGAATCTAGGAAACAGAGGGAGGAAAGAGAAGCCGAGGAAGAAAGAAAGAGGAGAAAACGATTAGGATTGCCGGAATTGGTGAAAGAGGATGCGGAGGAAGTGGTGGAGGATGATATTCCGGATGAGGAGCTGGTGTTGAAATTGCGGGAGATGGGACAGCCTGCTAAACTTTTCGCGGAGAGCCATAAACAGAGATTAAGGAGGTATAGGAAATTAGGGGTGGTTATGACGACGGGGCCGATTCCTACGACGTTGGTTTTGGTTGAGGAAAAGGATATGAAGGTTGAGGATGTACCGAAGGATGAGGAGGGGAGGAAATATCTGTTTAGACAGTTGGCGAGTTATTTTACGATGGTTTTGCAGGAGTGGGAACATGCGCTGGAGAAAGAGAAGAGGGATACGTTTGCTAGTAAGGCGGCTTATAATGCTATGGTGCAGAGTAAAGATAACATGACTCCTGTAAGTTCCCTTTCGCATACTTATCTAATTTATAGAATTTGAGACTGACGATCTATAGCTCTTTCGCAAATTCGAGAAAGGAGATCTAGATGAGGATATTCTAGGCCCTGTGGTTGAAATTGTCAAAGCAGCGCAGGAAAAACGATACGTCGATGCAAATGACGGGTATCTACGTCTCAGTATTGGAAAGGCTGCATGGCCAATCGGTGTGACGATGGTGGGTATCCACGAGCGTAGTGCGCGCGAGAAATTGCATGAGACTGATAAAGGACATGTGATGGGAGATGAAATTACGAGAAAGTTTTTGCAAAGTATTAAGAGATGTCTCAGTTTCGCTCAGGTTAGATGGCCTCCGGAGGATATTAGACAATTGATGGGTTGAGTATGTGTTTTAGAGCTTGCGCCTCGAGAGAGGTTACAATGGGTTCCCATCTATGTCTTCGAGTCTACGTTCACTTCGGGCGCCAAAATGCTGTGCGCAGCACACCTTAATTTAAAGAATTATCATATTTCGTATTCACTTTGTGATTGTTTTTGCTTTGATAAGGAGGATTCGTATTGTGTTGAGTATCTCTATTTATCGGTACTTCAAATTCCAAAGTCAGCCCCCATAGTTTTAAGCCGATTCTATGCTGGGTTTCGAGGATATACTAATGTACCACCCACGGATAATACTTATAGTAGTCGGAGTTAAAAGGCTACTACGAATCCTAAATAGTGAAAGATCGCGTTTTAGCGAGGCTAGAAGGGGGGAATAGCGAGTAAGTCCTAGTGTATGACAACCCATCATTGGCATGATAAAATATTCCATATTACATCGCATACAAGAGGCCCAAACAATGGGAGTCATATTTTAGTGAAGGGGAGTTTTACAGATCATAAATATTCGCTGCTTCAGATTACCCCAATCGAAAACTCATAGACACATATACGAGTAGATGCCTCGACAAATGTGAGATTGTAAGTGTTTGGAAGCGAATTTGTCATTCATAATTCTAGTAGGTGCTAGCATACCACAGATGCGTAAGTATCTACAAACTCGTAATGAAATTCGAAAGACCCAGAGATGATGCGTCGGGAGACTCAGACTTAAAGGACTTCGGACCGGATAGCGGATGACTTTAATGGATTGTATCAAAGATATATGATAGGAAATGGGCTCCTTGCATATCTATGGGTGATCATTGAGGAATTTCGATATAGTCGCAAAGTAGTATGCAATGTTCGAATTTCAAAATTTACAATATCTGGTGCACATAAATATTCATCACTTTTCTCATGATTTAGACTGCTAGAAGCTACCCCCTTTGACGAGTGAGTTCCAGCTTTTTTTAGCTTGTATACTACCCATGATACTCGGGCTACTTGAGGGCCTTTGATATTCCTGATATACGGGGAGGTTGTATAAAGACCTTCCATCCTAAACTATACCGTACTATTCCTCCTAAGTTAGGTCTTCATCATCTGATAATTTACTTCACCATGACGGATTCGCTTAAGGACTAATATATCACCAAATGACAATCCAGAAAATACTCAGATTGTTTCTGTTGCATATCGCATCTTGAGTCATGATGTAGAGATGAAGCTTTGAAGATTAGACGGTATATAACAGGACGAAAATAATAATCATTGCAATTATACAATATCGACGAAGAAAGAGATGACGACAAAGACGGAATGAGATCAAAATTTACGGTTCTATTGGTAGTCTTAGCTGGATTGCGGAGTGTATCTTGACTTCCCAAGGAAACTCTAACCCCCCGTTCAAAACTATCACGATGGAAGAAACCTCCTGTTACTTCCATTTCTACTTTCAATCTTCCACAAAGGAACTTTCGTTCCGACAGGCAAGCAGCAAAACTTTGCCAAAATAACTCTAAAGCCCCATTCGTCCCTTTAGAATTTCCTATTCTATGTCTAGAACAAAGAATCTCTTTATCTTGACTGAACAGGTAGGAAACATGTTTCAGATATCAGATATGCAACAAAACTCATTTTGCGTATTTTTCTTTGTTTAGATGAGAGGTGAAAGAGAGTTTTGGGAATAGTAGATTTCGGAAATTTACATAGTCTAGCGATGGTCAAATGTTCTAAGCTCGTCTATCGCACGTTTAAATATGCGTGCTGCATGGGGAAGCGAAGCTCTTTGTTGCAAACCCAGTGACCTGCACCCAAAAGAATTTCGATCGGTAGGTCGAAGTTTCGCAAACAAAGAACCCAGAGGTTGGAAAGTTTTGTTGCATATCTGGAATTGAGCGCAAGTTGACGAAACCTCCCTAGGTACATACACAATACTGCTCCAACTACCACTTGAGCAATTTAGCCGTGCACTAACAACTCGCCTGAAAAGTTAGATTTTGAAAGAAAATTCTTACTAGGCCATTCACTCACTAGTAGATGCCCGAAGAAACTTTCTTTCTACAAAATTTATTTGGATGCACTTCTTTGCATTGTATATCTTGTGCACTCCCCTTGCCGCCAGTAACGAGCATACCTAGGTAGTATTTCGACCTACGATAACATTGCATTGGAATATACTATTGTCAATCTCAGTTTCATGACGTCAAGGAAGATATTAGTTATGGTAAGCTGCTTTATACATCGAGCGACAAAAGAATTCCAAGATTGGTTGCATTATATATTTACAAAAGAAGGACCAGTCATCAAATCACCAGGCACTTTGGCGGAGTGGTTAACGCGATGCCCTGCTATTGTTTATAACAAAGTCAGGCATTTCCTTCGGGAGCGAGTGTTCGAATCACTCAGGTGTCGTTTTTTGCCGTTTTTGACCTTTTGAAGTCGAGGGAATTTTTATGTGATCAATTATTCTTAGCTCTTTCAATATGTGTGCTACGGAGATTTTGAGATCCTTCTTTTGGATGTAGGTAGGTATTTGTTTTTTGTGGAGAGCACTACTGATTACGTAATGACATAACAAATACTACTGCATAAGTAATGAACTAACAACTCTTGTTTGAGTGAACTGAAGTTGAATTCATTTCCGTGGCCATGAATTATCTATCTTACCTACTTTATGGATTGTAGCACAAGTTGCCGGTCTATGGTAGCTTCATGCACTTTCTGAGGAGCACCAAGTGCAGTGATTTGTAACACACCCGGTGATACGTTGAACTTGTATTGCATCAGTCTATCCAGGAAATAGTAAGTATTTACAACACTTTGAGTCAATGAATCATTCATTGAAGCCATCGCGCTTCCGAGAAAATCGATATGTATTTCAGTTCACGGTCTCTTAGAAGCTTACAGCCATCTACCAGTTTTTCTTTGATAATAAATGGGAATGCTCAAGTAAATACAGAATACTCCGAACTTCTGGATGAAAGCTATTTGGCCTCGATGCGTTCATGTGCTCAGTGATTCTTGTGTGCTGTGGCCCAGTATGAAATCGAAATCAGGTTCCAAGTTGACGGGTACTATTAACCTAACTTTGAGCACGCGAAGGGCGGAACAGTCGCTGAATGAAAGAGAACGACCAGAATCGGAGGGAGACTCAAAAAGGAAATCGCATACCATAAACAACTAGGCTTTGGCCGTACATATGGAGGTGGAAAAAGGCACCGACTCAATCTGATTGAGTGGTGCTGGGAGCTGGGATTCCTTTCAAGCTATTCGAAAACATCTAAGTGATGAACCTTTGAAGGGCAGGAATATCACGTTTAAAACAAGATATTCCTATAACTTAGATGAGATCCTACCTTACTTTGATCTGATGTATGAGTGGAAAGTTGGGTGATTTATCTCTTCCACTTGCAAGAATATCACAATATCCGAGCACAGCATAGACAAGATGAAAGAAGTTGCCGAACCCGACCCATGTTAGATCTATTTCGTGTAGTTTGGAATGTTCTGAGAAAGTATCTTTGGCCAGATTCCTAATCGAAGATCATGATTCAATTGTTGACATTGTGTAATCTGACGCTCCTAGCTGTTGAATAGCTAACTTACCCAGTAAACAACATTAGCCACAGGCTAAATGCCTTGGCAGGGCGAGAAGGTAACGTTAGGTTTTGATCCGATCTTCTAGTCTCACCGAAATCAACTTTGACAAAGAAAAAGACTTACAAAATTGATGAACATGTACTTGATTGATGTCGAATTTTGGATTGTGTTCTGTCTGTCTATCAATGTCATCATGTGGTTGTGGCACAGATAGTTCTGAGTGGCGTTCTAATGCATGAATGCCATGTTAATAAGGCCAATATATAGCTAGCGTCGACCAGGTTTCCTGAGAGCCAAATCAATCCACGTATCTATGAACTTCCAATATAAATTCAACCATTTGATTTTCATCAACCACAATCCGCGAGGATATCTTAACACCCATTTCAATAATACAAGTTAATACCACCACACATACAAAATGTGGCTCCTCGATTGGTGTATGTAGTATTCTGGAATGGATCCGAGAAGAAAGTGTTTACAACATAACAGCTTGCTGACTTTTATCTCATTTGAATAGTTTGGGATACTCTTGCGTCCTTGGGACTCTTGAACAAACACGCAAAACTCCTCTTCCTCGGTCTCGATAATGCCGGAAAGACTACACTGTTACACATGCTGAAGGTGCGTAGAGGAAGCCAGGTTAAGGGGATGCTCGATCCAAGGCCAACGACAACTTACTTCTCGCATTTTGAGCAAGGGAACAATTACTGATAAGCATATACTTCTAGAACGACCGCGTTGCCATTCTCCAACCTACTCTTCACCCTAGTAAGCAGCTTCAAGTCTCGCACATCGGCGCAAAGCACACGTAATCAACATTTACTGACCATGCGACAGCATCTGAGGAACTTGCTATCGGCAATGTCAAGTTCACAACTTTCGATTTGGGAGGACATCAACAGGGTACTTATTCTCATATTGTTAGAATGGTAGACGCCAAGCTAATATGATGTAGCTCGTCGTCTCTGGAAGGATTACTTCCCAGAAGTCTCCGGTATCGTTTTCTTAGTCGACTCCAAAGATCACGAACGTTTCGTCGAATCGAAAGCCGAGCTCGATGCCCTTTTGTCGATGGAGGACCTTTCTAAAGTACCTTTCCTCATTCTCGGAAACAAGATCGATCACCCAGATGCCATCAGCGAGGACCAATTAAGACACGAATTAGGATTATATCAGACTACTGGAAAGGGCAAGGTTCCTCTTGAAGGTATCAGACCTATCGAGGTCTTCATGTGCTCTGTGGTTATGAGACAAGGTGCGTTTTCTTTTCGTTGAAAGATTATTATGCCTCACACTAATCATGGAAATAGGTTACGGTGAAGGTATTAGATGGTTATCACAGTATGTCTAAATAATGGTGAGAAGGTTGTTGTGAAGGAGGTGTTTGGAATGAAGGGGGTGGTTTCTTATGGAGATCTGTTATGATGGACGGAGTTATACAAAGGCCGTTTTTCAATGCTTTTTTGGTAGGTTCTGGGAGCTCATAAGAGTTTACTTTAGGAACCAAACCGACCAACATATTTGCACCAGCATAGTATCGCGATTAAGACTTTTTTATCTCTCTCAACATAGCATTATGACTCGTGTATTTGAACTCTGTGAATGTGCTACCGATAGATGGTATGGTCTTGGAAGTACTGAGGCATTAGTGATTAGACCACTCAAAGGTTTCCGTTATTTAATATCGTATACAAGTCAATGTTGTAGGCGATGCACCGTAACTCATTCTCAAGTTTCTTGGACTTCTTAAGGTACTGAAATCTTTTGTAAAATGTGAAGATCTCAATGCTTGTAGCGATCTAGAATGTACCACTCCTAGTGCTAAAGGCTAAGAATACCTAGTACTTAACTAGCTACGTCATAACTATTTTCGGATGCGAATCTCGCCCAACATAATTATACATAGTCTCCCCACACTTTCCAATAATAGCCAACCCTCTTTCATATATTAACCAAAGCAAAGACCCATACTTAATGCATATATAATGCAGGAAGACATCTAGAACTCCTATCTTCTACAGAATACACAACCAATAATTCGACCACCACTTAGAGATGGCGGATCTCCGCCACAAAACAGATGGCCCATCGCCGCTTTCCGCAGAAGGCTACGATGAATCCCTTCTTCCCGATTTCCACCGTGAATTCATTTCCGAAGAACACCTCCAAGCATTCTCTAATGCGCTGAGCGCGCCGGATCCAAGTCCTAGCTCTGAAGATTTGTCAATATATTCGCAGGCTCAAAGTCCGAGAGAGCCATCTACACCACATCGCAGTAGCATAGATGTACGAAGAAACAGTAAAGTTGCAATTGGAAGCGGATCAAACACACCAGGGGATAGGGGAAGCTTGTTCATTACCGCGCAGAATGATTGGGCTCCAGTCAACCCTACGAGGCTAGGAGCGAGAGGCAAAAGGAAAGGGGAGAGGCGGAAGGCAGGTAAAAAACCAAGGAGAAGTAAAGATGAGACGAGAGAAGGGTATTTGTACTCGATTTTGAAATGGCCATTGCTAGGAGTGGTTTTCATGTGGATTGGGGGATTGGGATTGTCATATATGGTGACGCGATTGTACATTTGGACATATGAGCATTTTATTGCGGTAAGTGGTTTTCTAAGTTGCGTTTTGGCGTGGAGGTAGAGGATTATGTAGGATGTATGCCGCGGAGTTTCTATCCCTGGCTCTAAGGGAGCTATTCATCAGAGTTATTTACTGATTTCCTGGTTGTACAGTGGAGAGGAAAGCGGAATCGACTGCGAGAACAACTACACAGTACCACGAACTACGGAGATTGGGTCAAAGAAGCACAATCATTGGACACATATCTTGGAAACGATAAGTGGAAGAGTGAGGACGAATACGCGTATTATGATTCCAAGACGGTACGAAGAGTTTTGGAACAGATTCGAAGATGCAGACGGAAAATTGAACAAGAGGATCAAACAGGAAGCTCATCTAATGGAAACAATACAACAAAGGCAAAAGCAGTTGAAGATTTGAAGGCATTAATCGAGGCATGCGTTAAGAATAATTTTGTGGGAGTGGAAAATTCGAGATTATACTCTCAAACTTATTATGGAACGAAGGATTTGGTACAGGAGTTTATCGATGAAGGTAATTTGAAGATTTACATATTTTCAATAGCAGATCAACTGACGAAATATTTTAGTTGAGAAAGGTATTTCAATTCTGGCGAAGTCGGATCAACTTCAAGATGAAGAAAAGCGCACACTTTTCAAACGAATGCACACAAACTACGGTCGTACAGCACTCTGTCTGTCGGGTGGCGCGTCTTTTGCATATTATCATTTTGGAGTTATCAAGGCATTGTTAGATGCGAATCTCTTGCCAGAAGTGATTACAGGAACTTCAGGGGGTGCTTTAGTAGCTGCTTTGGTCGCCACAAGAACGAACGACGAATTGAAGGCATTACTTGTACCTGCTCTAGCCGGCCGAATCACTGCCTGCTCAGAACCGTTTACTACTTGGATACCTCGATGGTGGAAATCAGGAGCTAGATTCGATTCTGTAGAATGGGCTCGACGATGCAGTTGGTTCACTCGAGGTAGCATGACTTTCCGCGAAGCATATGAACGAACTGGCCGAATCCTCAATGTCTCATGTGTTCCTGCTGATCCTCATAGTCCTACTATTTTGACCAACTATCTCACGAGCCCTGACTGTGTTATTTGGTCAGCAGTTCTAGCATCAGCAGCTGTTCCAGGTATTTTGAACCCTGTGGTTCTTATGATGAAACAACGCGATGGCACTCTTGCACCTTATTCCTTTGGTCATAAATGGAAAGACGGAAGTTTACGAACTGATATCCCACTTAAAGCACTAAACCTACATTTTAATGTAAACTTCAGCATTGTTTCTCAAGTCAATCCTCACATCAATCTCTTTTTCTTCTCCTCGCGAGGTTCTGTGGGACAACCAGTCACTCATCGACGTGGTAAAGGTTGGAGAGGTGGATTCCTTGGGAGTGCTACTGAACAATATCTCAAACTCGATCTTAAAAAATGGTTGAAAGTAGTCCGTCACCTCGAATTATTACCTCGTCCTCTGGGCCAGGATTGGAGTGAAATATGGCTTCAGCAATTCTCAGGAACCATTACTATCTGGCCAAGATCCGTCATCTCAGACTTTTGGCGCATTCTAAGTGATCCAAACCCAAAGCAACTGGGGAGAATGCTTCATGTCGGCCAACAAAGTGCATTTCCAAAACTAATGTTCATTGCCAATAGACTGAAAGTCGAAAGGACTATCGAGTCAGGAAGAAGAGCAACTCGACAAGGCGTGAGAAGAGGTAGCATTGAGAGCATCTTAAGCGAAGAAGATATCAAAGGTTTACTTCTGGGAAGTGGTACTGGCAGCGATGCTGAAGGAGAGACCGCTACAGAATATGAGTTGACAGATGGCGCGGTGACATCCGAAGATGAATCTGACGGACTTAACTTGAAGATAAGTGAGAAGGAAGCCTTGATCAGTGGGGAAAAGGAAGAGTAATATTGTGATTTTTGGAAGCGAGATTATACCACTCATAGACTGACACTCGATCTTAAATGGAGATATTAGATAGGTAGGTAATAGGCATGGTCAGGATAATAAGGTTAGATATTTCAATCGATATATTCATCATAAATGTGTGCCAGTCTCAGCTAATGCTAGCCTTTACTCTACACGTGACGCACGTATCTCTGCTTCTCCAAAGATCACTTACAGGCGGTGATATCATTCGAGTCTATCTAGATCAGTATTTGAGGTATCGACAAATTGTGCGTGGCTTTGCATGCCACTCTTGCCATCCTTACTCAATCCGTTTCTTCAATCTCTACTTAACAGTACATAAACGAGTAAAATAGTTCATGAAGACAGGAGCGAGAATTCTATGCCTTCTGACGTTTACTATACGAGCGGGATAGTACCAAGGAAAGCTATTCAATAGCTTATTAGGTAGATAGATACAGAGCACACTTCCATCAGTTTAACACCAATTCAAATAAAAAAACGCCCGTAAATACATCGAATGTCGTTATCCTGTGACACAGACAAAGCTCTGAGGCATTTAAACTGTGGCTCAGCTTTTTGTCAGGTCCAAAAGTACACTATATTGACTTCATCAAGACTGAGCTTGAAATTGAGGTTACATGATGAGAGTGCGTAGGCGAAGTGGCAATGATGAGGATGGTTGCGTTGATGGTTATTTGGTTAGTCGGCTAATCGAACGTTGATCCTAGCTAACGTATTCGATTGGGGTACTGATCGGATTATTTCATTTGATATGATGCTTGGTAGCTGAATATCTTGAAGGGTATGACTACACTCATTGTATTCAATGTAGAGTGGTGAGGGCTGCATAATAAGTGCATCAGCTAACGCTCTTATGAAATGTCCTCTCCTAAAATCTACAGCATTTAGGGGCAGCTCGAAAGTGGTAATATCTGAAAATATTATGCTACATATTCAGAGTCTGAAGATCACGAATAGTGGTGGGAATTATTGCAAATGATCGCTCCGAAGATATCCAACATCTTCGATTTTACGAATAGTTCTTTTCAGAACATGCTCTTCTGTTAGTCACTTACCCTCTTCATCTCTCGCTCGCTATGGATCTTCTAGCTATAGCTGCAAGTATCTCTGAACCGATCGCCTTTGATATTTAGCTTGTCTACACATCCTGGAATGTTGTTATATTGTAGAATTCGAAATATAATAGCGATATTGTAGATGAATTGTCAGAATTGCAATTAGAGGTCAGACTTTTGAGGATATTACTTCGATCCATGGAGAGTGAACGAGATGTTAAATATACTCGGAGTACTCCTATGTACACCAATGGAAGAGGGGAATGCATCAGTATTTGTACGCATTTTCTTGAGAAATTAGACATTATGACGGCTTGTATGGATTAGGCATTTGAGACTCACCCTGAAAGAAGAACATGGAGCTGTTGGACAACCATATGGGGGAGGAAGCAAACAGGCAGGCATCGGAAGGAGCTAGGAAGAATAAAAGATGAGGTAGTTTTGTGTCGGCTTTGGGTTTATGGGTGAGCTGGAATGACTTTTGGATGTGGAGGGTGTGGACATACAAATATGGAATGCTGACTTGGATACAGACAACGACAAGATGAGCTTCATTTTATCTTGACTCAAATGAGCAGCATGACTTACGATTCATATGTTGATGTTTACCAGGGGCTCACTCCAAAGTATTTAAATAGTTCGAGGAGCTATATCACTGCTGCTTGTAGGAGAGCCCCGCTAGCTGAGATAAATTTCTTCAGCTCGGAAGCTAGTGTGTCTGAACGATGGCCGGGATGGTACGCTACTTTAGCCCTGATTTCACATCACGATTCGATTGTAGCGATCTTTTTATTCTGTTCCATTTGGGGTGTTGCGATGTATTGCGGCTTGGAAAGTATATACCATGGGCTTAGGAGATGTCATTTCGTACCTAGCTTAATTTGGGTCGGAGAAAAGAAAGCGAGACTATTGTATATTGATGGATTTGATGACTGCCGGTGGAGCTAGGCTTCATATGCTTTGTCTTGGGGTGGGAGGACTGGGAGGAATCAATGAGAGGGATATTTTCAAAATCTAATAACGGCTAGACGATTGATACGTTTAGTGATCCACGAGGAACTAAGATGGGATGTTCTAGTGGGCATATCTACCATATCATAATTCCATTGTTCGACTATAGGAATTTAAGGAATACAAGGGGCCGAGAAACTTTGTCGAAGGATTGAATTGACATGTGGTTCTTGAGCACTCTTTTTGCCATTACTTAGTCTTTGGTGTATCATTTCCCCGAGATCAAATTTTTCGGCTCAGAGTATTCAACGACAAATTGAGAACTCAAAAACGTATGAGAAAGAATAAACTTATGACAATGATATTCCTGGAGACGAGATGAACATAGTAGCAATTGAGTTTCAGTTCTCAGATATTGAACTGGCAAGAATTTGCGCAGGGAAATACCTAAATCATTGTTGCATAACTAAATGACTTTGAATATTGGAAACCCATTCATAAGGTCGCGGGAGATACCATTCAAAATATACAGCAAGCCCTGGGGAGTGAACATCACCAATAACTTGAGAACGCCCATCAAACATCTGAAAAGTCTTAGAGCGCAGCGGACAGTTCAGTTCAGTGGATCTTCGCCATGAGAGTGTCACTGTTCACTTGTCACGGAGCCACTGCCAAAGCCCCTTCCTTCCTTTCATCCTATGATAGGCATAACAATGCCAACAAACAGACTAAAGGTGCAGGGGTTAGCGACATGCAACAAATTCCATTTGTGATTAAGGTTCACCATTCAGCTGTGCGGAGAAGGAATATTAACGCGGGTTAACATCAACTAGTACTAGCTAAGATAAGACCAAGAATAACTCAAAAGTTGCAAGGGTTAGCGACGTTCAACAGATATCATTTGGGGTTTTAGGTGAGGGTTGGTCGCGTAAGCTTGAGTTTAAGTTGAAGAGACCAACCACCGCCAAAATGAGACTAACAACGACTTAAAAGACTACAGGGGTGTTGCGATGTGCAACAAACAGCATTTAGTCGAAGCTAAAGTAAGACTAAGAACCAACCCCCTACTAGAATGAGAATAACAATGACTACAAGCTTGCAAGGGTCGTCGAGGTATATGCCATATGACATGTCAAAGCCCTAAACTTTAACATCACATCACGATGACGATGATATCATGGACCAGCACTACCTCAAGAAAAACACGTGTAAATACAATCTACATATAGCCCCTTAGCTCTGATAAATGAGAAAGAGTTTATACCGACCCAAATGATTGTCAATCAAAGGTAAGCAATTTGGGTTCTGCTAGGCTAGTTGCAGGTGGAGACAAGGTGGGTACTCCCAACATATTAAATGCAAGTTCTACCTCTTCTGTATTCGAAAATAGGTCAATATTTCTTACTTCAATCCCCACGGCAATTCACCTCAGAATAGGCCCGGAAATATATGCGCGGGACATGATGATTCCAGGTTGATTAAAGATCTCAAAATCGTGCATTCATGTTCTGCAAATCAAATAGATCACTAGCACATTAATCAGATAGTACTGATAGCTTTGATCCTACCTCCAGTTCATAGCATAGCCAGATGATCTGAAAGTTGGAATTTACACTAGATATGGTTGAGCCTTCTGGAGAGGTTATGTACTCTTGATTAGATAGTACTAAGCGGCATCCCTCTTCAAACTTTCAAAGACTTATCTTCAGACAGAGGAAAAAACGAAGAGGTTTGAATTTGTGATACCAGTACACTTATAGCTGATATCTGACCGGTAGTACAGGACGTTGTCTCTCCGCAGCCGTACCATTTGGGTGGAGAATGTGTTATTGCTCCAACCCTTGGCAAAATGATTCCACGAAGAGTAAAGCCATGAGAATCATGTAGAACATTTCGTGCTTGAAGAATTTCTAGGTCTGGCAAACGCCATATACGTAGATAAAGCTCTCCTTTCATGACACTTCCTTGCGTATCTAGAAAGCGTGGTGGTTCTTGGTGTATCATGCTAGAAGTGAACCTCTCAGGACCATGTTCAAACATTATATCTGATAGACCATTGTGCAAGAACCTTGAGTGGTTACTTTTCACTCGAATCATAAAAAGCATTGAGCTTGAGAGTATACTATAGGAAAGTAAGACTTCAATACTGTAGAACTTTGAAAATTCATTGTATTGAATTCAAGGACTTAACACGGTGAAATGATAAATTGCGCGCTTACCTAAGCACTTCAACATGCTATCGCGTTGCGTCGCGTCCACAATACTAGTGGAAGCCCCCGCCAAAATCTCGAATACAGCATACACAAATTCGAGTTTCGCATCGCAATATTTCTGCGTTTCTGCCCCAACTAATACTTTAATCACTCATTGCCCACATATTTTAGGGAGCGAAATCTTATATTCTAGCTTTTTAAGGCAATTAACATACAGAAGTCGAGGCGATAAGGTTTTTTGGCGCATAAACCTTCGGATCATCACCACAGACAAGACGCACGGGACGACACGACACTAATCGAATCGAACGAACAATAACACTGAAATATTGACTGTCATCCAGATAGGATGGCGAGACTGAATAATACACTTATTGTCTACAAACGTAAACCCTACAAACCGGTTCCGAGTTTGGTTGCCGCACACCGACGAAACACGCTCGAGTCAAGGAAGGGGAATGGAACGGAGAACGGCGGAGTTGCAAAGAAGGGCAAACAAGCTACTACACCGGGAGAGAGTTCTGTTCAAAAGCCCTCTGGAACGGCCAATCAATTGAACAATATGGTTGGTTCGAGGGCACTGGTTGCGCAAATGATTGTGAGCACAACAGATGGAGAGGAAACCAATAAGAGTTCGACAGAGCAAGTAATGATTGAACCCAAAGCTCATGTAGAGGAAAGAGGGGATGGCGAGGGAGATGGTCAGAAGGACAAAGAGGACAACGAAGCTGAAGTTCAGAACAAGCCTCAGCAAGAAGTGGCACTTCCGAATCCGTTGCAGTCTCGAGGACCATCAACGACGGCTAAGAAAGCACTTGCAAAGAGGACTGCCGAGTTACAAAATTCGCGACTTCGCCAAGAGAAAAGAACGCCGCTCAGTAGGTTGAAAAGGGCACAACATTCAACTCCGGACAATAAACTGGGATTGACGGAGGATCTACCGACAGAGAAAGATACTCCTCGCGGCGAAGGAAGTCGAAGAAAGCTGGCTGGTGCAATGCTAACATCCGGTAAAGAAGCTGAAATTGTAGCTTCAGCAAAGAAGCCAAAGCCTAGCGGCAATCCAATTGGCAATCCGAAAGCTTTGGCCGAGGTACTCGCTCCTGTCAAACAAGCCATGGAACTCGCTCCTGTAGTCGAACAAACCAAGGAGCCTACTCCTGTAGCCGAACAAACCGAGGAACCTACTCCTGTAGCCGAACAAACCAAGGAACCTACTCCTGTAGCTGAACAAGCCAAGGGACTCACTTCTATAGTCGAACAGGCCGAAGATGAGGATGGTTCCGAGGAAGAAAATGTGACCGAGACTAAAGCCAAAAACTCTTATCAACCGGATATAGTGCACCAATCTCGGTTGGATGGCGAGAATAATAAGCAATGGCTTATAGAGTGGAAAGGATATCCAAAACAAAAAGATTGGACTTGGGAGTCAGTCGAGATGTTGAGGGAGGATTGCCCAGAATGGGTCGAGGAAAAGGAGAACGGTTCGTTGAATGGAGACGCTGATGTTCACGAGGTCGAGGCAATTCTGGACAAGCGGAAGGTTAGGGGCAAGGTTCAATATCGTGTGAAGTGGGAGGGTTGGGAAGCCAATTACAATACATGGGAACCTGCGGAAATGCTGGAATGTGATGTCCCGTACATGGTGGAGGATTTCGAAAAAGAGCTAAAGAAGACCGAGAAGAAACGAAGTGTAGGAAAAGCAGATATGGATGCAGAGCTACCTGCCGCAAAGAAAAGAGGCCGACCTAGAAAGTGAGGAATACTTGACTTTGTATTCAGATTTTATGAAAAAATCGTTTAGCGTGTAAATTGATTGGTCAATGGATGGGTCATTTTAATTTGGAGTTTATAGGACAACGATCACTCTGAGTGGAGTTCACAGAGGAGATGAGATGTAAAATACCCAAGCGAGATTTTTTTGGTTTGCGTTTGTTTTGTCTAGGTATCTTATGTTTCATTGTTGGTTATAATGCATACAGATCATCTATGAAGCCTCTCACTTACTTTCCGTTTAAAAATATAAATCATTCTCATTTAAAATTCTCCCCATACATATTTGGTTACCACCAATGTTGAAAAGGCTTTACAAATAAGGATTGCCTCATAGTTAGCTCCTTTAGCGAGAACCAATGACTACTCAAGGGGTCGATGACAAAAATCATGATTAGTCGCAATACTCTATAGAAGCCTAGATTTGTTTTTCCATAGTCACCACCACATACAGTTCTCCGTTACTTCCTACTCACACATCGTCACCAAGAAATCGCTCAATATGAACAATCTTACCCCATGTAACTGATTTTATAGCCCCCTATTCAAACGAAAACCTCTACAACCCATTGTTGAAATTAGATGAGAATATTATGCCCAATTTTAGAGTATCCCAAGATCCTAGATGTCATGGTTTCTCTATATACCTGATCAAAAGTGTACACTGACGAGATACAACGCAATTTGTCGATTCTGTACACTTACGCGTTATATACAAGCCGATCCGGTGATGGCGAATGCGTATCTTGAGACAGCTTCAGCCCTAGTACCACACAAGATCGATTGAGGACTCAATTGTGTATATCTAATGCATATGAACATACTAGCATTAGTTTAGTACGTCCTACCGAGGTTTCAAGGCACTTACGCGAACTAGCTCTTAGTCCTGGACGTAAAATAACAACACTGCCAGCATGCAGGTGGACATCTAGTGCCTTAGGCACCCAACTACTACACACAAGTCTCGGCTTTACCACCGAGGTAACCTCCGGTTCTTTCGACTATTTAATCGTCCTTTACAATTGAGTGATGGGGTACTGTAAATTTTACACCCTCATGTTTGATATACTAATGGGTACGTAGATATCACTTATCTCAGTACTACATACTACAATAACATTACCATGTCCCAGAAAGTAATACTTAAGGATCCCCATCTACAAGTCCAAAGTTGGACTCGATGTAAGCTTCCAGTCGAAATGCCGTTACCGGCAGTAGTGTGGAAGAATTATGTTGAAGACCTTCCAGAAATCTGGCATGAATCATGAACTGGTCTCATGAATGCTCCAGGTTTTCTGAGGTCCAGGTGTGCTCGAAATGTCAAGAATCCGGAAGAAGTACTTTTTGCTATCGGTGAGTTGTAGATTTCTCGATCTTTTGTTCTAATCTGATGTCAATCCAGAATGGGAGGATGACGCCTCGTTCAAAGCGTTTGTGGAATCCCCAGCCGATCCGCTATATATTCGAGGACTTGGAATTCATGACTCACATATCCCCAATGCTATGGTTTCCCTCTTCCCCAACTTTGATGTATGCCGATTTCGCCCAGGGGACAGTTGGTGGAAAAGGGAGTTGTGTTACAGGCTTGGCCTAATCAGGAGCCCCTAGTATTGTATGAAGCTGCGGATCAAGATGATGATGCACGAGAGAACGGGAAAAGACAGGTTAGGAGAATAAATCCTGTCAGTATGGAGGAGATAACATGGCACGTAGCGAAAGTCGAAGAAAAGGATGAGGAGGATTGAGAAGAGGAAGACGAGGATGATGATGATGATGATGAAAAAGAGGATGATAATGAAGGATCAAGCACTTGATGAAACTAATAAGGTAAGACCAGAAAGAAAAGACATTGATGATGCATCCATGTTTGAGCTTCTCAAATTAAGTCTAAGTCGTCAACATGACAGCGTTTCCTATGATTCATTCGCCCATTGGTTGCTTGAGTCCTGCGTTACGATAAATCCGAGACTGCTAGGATATTACATTCTGGTATTAGCAGACTATGTCGGGAACCAAAGTGAGTAAGCTATTGGAGTAAATAGGAGATTCTAAAATCCGTCATAGCGGAATCAAAAATGTCAATTTTCCAACACTGGGAACGTGCACACTTGCGCCGTCCAAATATTAGACTCCGAACTACTTTAGCTGGGCTTCAGATTTAGATTTTGCTTATGCTAACTCTATTGATGCAGACATAAGCTCAGACTTTGCAATGACTATATTGTTAACAATATCGAAAAGGATATCACAGAAAATAGAAGCGATTTATTTTAATGTTTTATATTTAACTCAACAACTATCGACTCTTACATCTCAAACTAAGTACTTCCCAAATGTATTCTCTATCACCTCCTAGTACACAAGAATTACATCCCCCATGTTAACACTCATCATGCAGAGACCGATATCATATCCGCCCCCATCATCAGTACCAATACCAAATACTAATAAATATTTCCCACCTCCCGCGCGTATGCCGCCATCCATCCAAATGTATGCAGCCAGCCGGAATCTACAATCCCCATACCAATACAGCCAAAGTCCTCCAGTCCAGAAAATGACAAAAAACGCAAGCACACAGCCAGAAATAAACACCACAAAATACAAATCTCCACAAGAAATCAAAGCAGAAAAACAAAGCTCTCAATCCCATACATACAACCCAAAATCCTGTCCATCTATAAACCTTTTCCCTCAAAAGTTGGAATACACCAGCACCCAATGTGCATACGCACATTCAAATCAGAAAACACGAAAAAAATAATAAGGAAAAAAAGTGTGAAGGCAGAGAGGTAGATAGCAAGCTATGTGACCAAACCACCGAGAACAAATCCATCATATCATAACACATAGGCGCTCATGAACAAGAAACAGAAAGATGCAATCCGGCTTGCAATCTTTTATCCAAGTTCTCCGGGGAAAGAGCCGCAAAAAAAAAACCATCATAACGCGTGGGATTGGATACAAATAATCCAATCCACTGAACTACCAATAATGCAAGCAGAGGAAATGCAAACGCAAACAATTGTACGAATAGTGATACAGAAATCCACCCTCTTACTTTTCCGTCTCTGAGAATGAAGTAAACAGTCGAAACTTTTGTTTCCTTTTGCTTTTGTTTTTGGTGAAGAGAACATAGGAAATCGAGTCGTGACATCATAGATCGTCATAGTGAGGAGCTCTCAGAAAGAGCCGAATATTTTTGGTAAGGAAAAAAATGAGTGTCCAAGTGTTGGTGATAGGTAAGTAATGTGGTACAAAAATGTACAATTACACAATAGTGTGTATGGTATATCAATCGGCATTATACTTTAAAGTGCACAATTTATTTTGGTAAGGTTGTTGGAGGAGCGGGGAAAAGATTATAACTTCCTCTCCGCTTACCAGCCGTAGCGGCATTGGTCAATGTGCTGGATCTTGATCTTGATCCTTCTTGAATGGTCTTTTCAGTAACGATGGGTGCAGAAATCTTTCTTCCATGATTGGACATGAAGGACTCGACTGAGGCGGGAGCGTATAATTCTCGAGAAAGAGCAGATCTTAGACGTGGTCTTGGAGGCGAATCGGTAAAGCTCTCAGCCACAGGACTTAGAATACTAGATGCTGCATCGGGAACAGCTGTGGAAATTGGAGGGGGAGGTTGAGCGAAATACTGAGCGTTTTTGGACGACCTACGCGCTTGATTGGTATGACTTTGCATTCCAGTAACTTCAGAAGGCTGCTCATTGTCATCAAGTTTTAAACCGGAAACCTTGGTAATAAGCTCTGGGTCAGATGTTGTAGTGGCAAGTGCTCCTAGTGTTCTACTGTCACGCTTGGGACGAAGAGATGGAACAAGGTCGGGTAAAGAAGAAGCGGATCCGATACTTCTGTGAGCTTTGCTCATGCTTCCTGCTTGGAAAATAAGTAGAGCTGAGTCTTGACTGGATCGATTGTAGCGGCTACTAATAGTACTGCTTCTGAGGCTATTATGGGAATAAACCGAAGAACGATAAGAGTTGGTACTAGAAAGAGCTTCATCTATTGGCGAAGCGGGTTGTTCATAAGTATCCATAGGAAATATTGAAGCTGATGGGACCTCATCGTTGTGATATGTGTCGAACAAAGCATCTTGTTCGCTTTGTAAAGGATATTCATCGGAAGGAATAAGGAGAGTTGGAGAAAGATTGAAGCCGTCTGATTCTTTGAACGAGGATGCGTGAGAATCAGGTCGCATTTGATTGGGGCGGAAGTAATTGGTTGGTGTAGGGAGAAATGATGAAGCGCTCGATAGATTGGATAACGGAGAGAGTGCGGGAAGATCATATGGTGCAGGGACGAGTAGTGATGGACGAAATCGACCTGGCGAGACATCTTCTTCGACCTGTTCCATTTGAGTGGGTGAAGCGGGTACTGCTGTGATGGCAGGTTTGTTCTCTTCGAATGTTTCATCGAATTCATAATCCCAATCTTCACCACCTTCATCCTCGTAACAAAAATCGATCGCATCTTCCCAGGAATCAGTAGCCAAGTTAAGCTTAATCGAGCTGCATCTTTTTGAAAATCGTGTAGTATCAATAGACCCAAGTCTTCCTAGCACTGGTGGCATATCAGGCATGTCAGGAGCTTGCTCAAGTGCCCTCATCCTCAAACCTGGAACAGATTTTGAAAGTCGTAATTCACCACCGTCGGTGCTTGACTCCCTTGATCGCGTCCTAGTATATTCGTCCTCCTCGAGAACATCTGCAAGATCGACACCAAAACTTCCACTTAATGGCGCAGATAAAGGCCATGCTTCCTCGCCAGGTGTAGTGACTGCATGAGACAAATGCTTGACAGATACCTCGGATTCTCTTCTTTCCCATTTAGGGGGTGAAGGATGTGTTTGTGGAGTAAAATCGAATGCAGACTCTTGAAGGTTTGTATTGGCACCAGCCAAAGGTTCACCGAATTCTGGGGCAGTTGAGTCTTCAACATGACTGAAGAAAGTTGACGCCGCTCTTGACGATGTTCGAGCAGGTGGATTAACCGGGCAGCGAGGAGATTCAGGCGACCTCATTGGGCGTACAGGTACCGATCGCAGATTATCATGTGACATTGAGTAATTGATAGGTCTCCATGGCTGATTTTGTGGTGGTGATACAGATGCTCGAAATACGGGCCGTCTTTGCGGGGTCACAGGACACGATGGACTCTTTGGGCTTGTGGGACTTCTAGGCGCGTCAACATCCGGCGCATAATCTATTGCTACCGAGGAGAAATTCTCAAACATTAAATCCCTCGCTCTAATACCCTTAAGATTTCCATTGGTTGGAGCTTGAGATGCTCGGAGAGCTGAAAATTCGGACACCAATCTAGTAGGAGGAAGTTCCCTGAGGTTTGGTAATTCATTCTGTTGAGTGTGTGTGATGTGCTGAAAGTTATATGGTCCAGAGATGGTGTTCTTTCGAGCACGATAACTAGTAGAAGGTGGACTGTGGCTGGATGCGTCGCTACGATCCCTATCGGAAGAACCACTTGCAAGAGATAATGAGGAGCCTCCCATTGAAGTATGGTTACGTCTAAACTTTTTGCTGCTTCGAGAGAATATCGTTTTTCCGAATAGATTTAAACTATCGGGTCTATCTTTCGTCGCCATGCTACTGCCGTTTGATCTACCGGAAGATTGTCGTTGTAATTCGATTCTGTTGGAGGAATCGAGACTGGATTGACGGGAGCGGAAAGAGGAAGCTGATGTGATAGAAGGGGTAGTCGATTTGGCAGCAAACGCTGAGCCCCTCCTCATTTGCTCAGTGTATGCGCGAATACCTTGAGGTGAAGGTGGCCCATCAATGGCTGGCTCGAAGAATTCGACAGACGGGTACGTAAGGTGCTTAGAGGTTGGCGGGGTGTTGTCTTTTTTAGACATCTTCCTCTTAGATGAGGGACGGTAGCTGTTAGGAAATGGCGCTGAGCCCATACCTGCAGATCCTAGACCGAACATATTGTATTGAGAGTTGATTGATAGCTGTCAATGAACCTAATCGACGTTCTGTGGGGAGGATATATATCGAACAATGCGTTGACTACAAGGGAATCCCAACCCGATAAATTAAAAGAAATTGTGCTTATGGCTTCTGCTTCAGAAGACGCAATCATCGATATGGGGCTGATGAACAGGCTATATCGAGGCACGTTGCAGCCACGATGACGCCTTTTTTGTTTCGGTGTTTGTCGATAAAAAAAAAAGTTGAGGACTTCCAAAAGTCAACAATGAGGGCGGCAGCGTCCAACATAAAAGTGATGGATTGAGGATATCGGAAGACGCTCGGCTGGGGAGATATGGATCAGCGTGTGCCACAAATAAAATAGGCCTGTCAAAACAAGGGTTCTCCCCTTCAGGGTGTTTGTCAAGAAATATGGAGCAGGAAGCGTTTCTTCTTTAGCGATATAATCCAACGTCAGGGGTACTATCCTCGGAACGTTGAATAGCGTTGTGAAGTCTGTGGAGACAATATAATACCACGAGGAAACTAGTGTACAATCCCCCATAGGACGTGGATACCATCACAATGCTCGCCTTGAGTCGCAGCGTTTGGTTCAACACTTAGCATGTGAGTTATGATGTATATCATATGTTGAGAGCTCTGCGTCCCCAGCTTTTTTGTTCGCAGTTGCGATTGGATGAATTACAGTATAGAGGTAGCGAGAAGTAGTTTGAAATGAAAGTATTTTTTCGTATCGATCCCCTTGGTGATGCATAATACCAAGGAAGCCGATTTGTCTGCTTTCATGCAATAACGGACATGTAAATTACCTTGAATAGTAATAGCGACCCGTAGTTGCAGGTAATAACGTATGAATTGACCAATGATAGAAAAGCCTTTGGAAAAGAATTAAATTGAAAAAGGCCCAAAGGAGGAATTAGCAGAATTGAGAGAAGCAAGCAGAGGATCTAAAAAAGATTGCTGGGAGCCTGGGAGACTGGGAGCGACGCTTTAAAGGACTGGGCTGGGTAAGTCAGTAAGCACAATGCTTTTGCGTGCAATTGTCAGCATTGATTGACTATGGAGCTGTGCACTACAGTGTTTTATTATTGTACGGTGGTTGTGAGTAGCAGCTGGCTGCAGCAATGTTGAACGATGCTGATCAAGATGCGACAACTGTGTTTGCTTGCATCGATATATCTTTACCATTTTCTGATTTATTGATTTGAATCCCTTATTTCAATTGATTCTCGACCAATCTAAAGGATCCCATCCCAATAGCTGGGTTAGAACCCCATCCTTCGTCTCTCGCAGGGTATCGCTTCTGAACAGTGCCATCGCTGAAATCAGACGAGATGAATGAGGCATGAGGCATGAGGCATGGCATGGCATGAGATGTGAGGTGTGAGGTGTGAGGCACGAGGAGATTGAGTACACTCTGCTAGCTGGCTGCTGCAAAGAGTTAAGGATTTGTGGGTGGGATGGGATGGTTGCTAGGGTTGGAAGTCAAGGTTGACAATATTCAAGGTTGTGAGGGTAGACGGGGCAGGAAGGCAGAAAGGCAGAAAGGCAGAAAGGCAAAATTGAAATTATGAAATGTAAAATGTGAAATGGGTGTGAGATTGAATTATGTTAGCCTGGTTGGTAAGGTGATGATCTAACCAGATCAGGTTAGTGAGTCTCATTAGTCACTTATTTAGCAGAGAAAGCACTCAAGTACCTTACCTCGAGCTTATGATTACCCAGATGCTAATAAAGAATCCTTGGAATCATAATAATACCAACCTGGCACGTGCCTGGGTACTAATTAATAGGTCGAGATAAATTGACAGAGAAAAAGAGTTCGGTCTTGTGAATCAGTCAAATAGAAAGGATTGATTAAATTCAATAAACAAATACCCAATGTTTGGAATATCGCAATAGTCAAGACTCTCAATCTCACCAACATGTATGCCCTCTTGGCTTTCACGACAGTCTGGTCTGTGGTTCAGTCGCAGTCGCAGTCGCTCTCGCTCTCGCATTACTGTTCTCCCCCCCCTGCTCTTTGCTCTAATAACTTTGGTTCCAGGCTCCATGTCTCCCCAATAATCAATTCCCACCCTGCACATTGCAAATGATCCTAATCCTGTCCTCTTTTCATAACAGGAAGCTCCTAGAAGCACATCAATAATCAAACTTTACTTACATACCATATACACGAATGGGAGGAGATCATCTCATTTCATTCAGGATATCACCGAAGGATGTTCAGATTGGAAAGTCTATTTCGAATTCTATTAGAAATCTTTGGGAATATCAAAGTTTATGTGTCTGCATCGACGATGTGGAGGGAGTATAGTATTGTGCAATCAATTCAACGCATTTTAAGGGCTTTTTTTTTTAATCATGATTATCATCAGCATCATCATCATCAGCATCGTCATCATCTCCCTGGATGACCAGAAACGAGAAGCCAGAACCATCCGTAGACTATAATGGATATCATACGGCACGGAAGTCACATCCGTAGCCTGACGCGTACGATATAACGCTTGCTTCCGTCTCCTAACTTACAAAATGTCTTGCACAAAATTCCACGATTCGTGCAACTTCGCAAGTGGCCGTTCAGCAATCATCCCCCCGTTGGGCGGCCAAGATATAGCGGCTGAAGTCGTGGGTCAACGGCAGATAGGTGTGGGCACCAACTGGAGACAATGTTATTGATCACTTTGGAACTAATACCTGTATCATCGTATCCAAAGTCTTTCGTACGCTTCAACTTTCCTCGAGAAGCAGTTCGTGGAGCACAAAATCTTTACGAGTAGCTGCATACAAGATAAAGCTTACCTTTTCAGCTAACCCTTCCAGCTCACCATCAAGGCTTCAATATTTCCATGTTCAGCTCTTTGCATGAGGTGCAATGACCACAGTGATCATCCATACAGATACTACTGTACCCAGTTGTGTGTGGGAATTAAAAGGTTACATACAATTCATTCTTCCGAGATCCAACCGATTTCCTGGAAGCCTCTTTATGGGTGGTCCACAAGAAGCGATTCCGAGAAATATGTACAGAGTATGCTCTCTCCGGCGGTGTGCCTTCGTACATTTCATTACTCAAAAGATGTAGCATCATTCACAATAATTGTCTCTGCATGACAGGCATAACAAACACCATGAAATTCATATAATTCCCAGTCATTCCCAGGAGAGCGGCTCATCCAATTTTAAGCGCGAACCTTTCAGGTCAATGATAGCTCAAGTATAATATAAATGCTTGGAAATGTGGAGATTGGGAGATTCTTTGGGATTTGATTTGCTGTGAGGTGGTTGCAAAATGATGTTGCGAAAGGGTTCCTGCAGAAGAGATATGTTTCCTACCGCCTTCGAGAATAATTCTTGGGATTTTTGTACACCACGAGCTTCAGGGAAGCATTTCATTATTCCAATATTGTTTATTTGTTTATAGGTATGATTGCATATCTTGTGTACCAAAGACTCTGTCCGCACAATCGAACCCCTTGAAGTTGATCTCCCTTGAAAAGGCTCCGAATGGATCAAATTGTTCATGGAGGCCATGAGATTATAGCGTGCTCCGTGGAGTCGTCAACCGGACCACTGTCTTTGGCTATTTTGCACACTCCTGGTCAATTTATCCTGTTCACCCGAGGCCAGAAAGAGTCTCGACAAAGTAAGAAATCGATAAGAACGCTGCAATCCTGCCGAAATGCCACATACCCTACTCGTCTAAAGTAAAGTTATTACACTTTGGTGCAATAACGTTCCCCGAGAGATTGTCACCAAAGCTTGGTAAGAAATTGATTGCCGCACAAATTGAAAAGATCGGCTGGTCTGTTTGGATGGAACTTATGAGTTTAAAGTTCTTATTAGTTCATCTTGTCAACGGTAGTTTGCTAGCCAGGCCCGTAGGCTCGAGGCCGTCCGACCTTTCATAGTTTCATCAGCGATCAAACTTTCGCTCGGTCTCCGGGTATTATCCTTAATGTCCCTTAGGACCTAACAGTTGCAACTTCCAACGCTATTGTTCTGTTATATCATTGGCAACAGCGGGAAAAGGTCTACGGGTCTTCTGCAAGTTAAACCTTGGACCCTGCGGGTGGTGTCAATACTAACCATGTCGCTTCCATGGGTAAGGAGGTGGGGTACTCCGAACCAGCTAAATTGCCAAAAGCAAAAACGGACAAGGAAACAAATCCTTCCCATTGCTCACCGCGGTACAAGGATTCTATGTATCCTGAAGATCGTAAGGAAAGAGGTTAGGTGCATTATTTTTGGCGTGCAAAGAAGATGTTCTCCGTAAAATGTAACTGTTCTAGCATTATCTGCAGGTATCTCTCTCAATGGTCGCCGATGACCGACCCTTCTTAACCTTTCCAAGTCTTGGATGCAGCAAAACTTCCGTACACTATACTAATTATGAAAATGGGCTGTTGATAACTGCAGTAAGCCGAGCTTCAAGGGGAATGGGTCGCTTTTCCATCCACTCTTCCCCTCTCCATCCACTTTCACCCCCCGCGAGGCGCGAGGCAGCGATGATTTTCTACAGCAGACCAGACCAGTGCAGTGCAGTACAGTGCAGCACAACATAATCAATCTTATTGTTGATTAATTACCAAGCTTGCAATCTTATAGATGGTGGGTACAAGCTGTGCGTCGTAAATGCCATGCCCTTATCCTTCATCCATTGTTATTGCATTTGTGCATTGTTGATACCAGGAATTCTCGTTTACGCGTGCTACCTTTCAAAAGAGTAAGGAATGCAGAGTTGACACGAACAGCGCATGCGAAGATCAAGGTTGATCGTAACTCTCCCAGAAAGAGGATACCCGTATAAGGTCTGGGTTAATTATCTCGGTATAACGGTTCAAAAGGGGGGAAATATTTGGTAGTGTGTTCGCTCGTGATGCGGAAATCCCGGATGAAGCAAGCTTCTGTTGGATCCGCTCTTGGCTTTAGTCCTGCATTGAGATAGGTCGAGTACGTACTGGATTCATTTCATTAATATGACCGAACGTACATGATAAGGCTGACTGGCTTGCTTCTGACAAAAATAGTCTTGAGTTGAGTTAGGTTAGGGCAAGCTTGTTTGGAAAAAGGTGTCACGATTCACGAATGACGATGTTACAGAGTGCGGGTTTCTTTTTTGTTTCTTCTGTTGTATGATGTGTAGATTTTTCATTTATTCATAACGATCTATGTATCTGTCGTACCATTTTTTCTCTCGCTGCTACGTTCTGTCCCACGAGGATTCTCCCAGAAACCAAAAGAAGAGAAACTCGAGAAATCCTTGACCTATGATCCACAGAATGGGTGAGGTTTAGCCGGCCTATCAAAATCTGGAGCTCCGCAGAAAAGTAACATGACTGAAAAATGTACCATAATTCGCAGGACAGTCCGATTTATCCACAGAAATAACAGCGATTGCACGGACAATGATGAAGGGGCAGATATGCAGTTTACTGCAGCATTTGGTTATCTCGCACGCGCATTAGTTAGTTACCTCTGCGAGCTCAGATCCTGAAATTCATTACTCTTTCTGAGGTATCCTCGCTATTCTAATCCACTATCGTCAAATCCCATGGGTTTTCGTAATAGATTCCCCTCCTGAAGGAATCCCGTGTGTTTTTCTTTAGGCTATGCTATGCTACGCTACACAGTACTGCAGCACGCATAGCCCCCAACGTAACGTGCGATGATCTCATACTGAAAGTCACCACATAGCCGACGACAGAAGATTTGAATTTTGGCACGCTTCACGTATGTCTTGTCTGGTATCCACGCAAAATCCACGAGTTCGTTTCAGTGTGACATTTTTTTTAACAAATGGATCTACATGATTCGATTCATGTCTGCGGCAACGCTTTCCGACGCGTCGCACATATCTCAACCTTTTTTTTCATTCCTCTGTGAAATACCTAACCCTCGTATACACACGATAGTGAAAACTTTGGATCCGGTGTTTCACACTGGGTTTGCTTCACTTGAGCGAATACTTTGGGGACTCTAGACTTCTCTATCTATATTCCAGACCCCTCGTCTCCTCTCCCCCAATTTTTTTCATCTAGATCCGATTGATTCTGTGTTTGCTTGTTTTGCTCTCCATGAAACCATGTATGTGCCCGGCAAGCATCTCTTCCAACCAATCCCCCACTGATAATCTGAATGTCCTGCCGGCCGCCGCGCAAATCCAAAATAATACATATATACATCAAACAAAAAGCACCAAGTGGAGAGGTTCCGAAGCAGAGGCTCGCAAGGGCGTTGCTTGCCAGCAAAAGAAGCAAAGCGCGCGGTCTGCGATCTCTGACCGATCTCCCAGAGATCCAGATCCCCCTTCCCCCATCATTTGTGTTGCCCAATTCCTTTCGTTTACATCGTACTGTACATAGATAAGAAAAGAAATCCCCTATCCATCCAGTTTTCATTGACCGCTAAGTGGGCGGAACCAAAGAATAGCATCTGCCTACGTCCGTACTGATGCTTAAGCGCCCGTCTGCCTATTCCCCATAAATGCATGTTGATATCTGCAAATATATCTCATAAGCCTCACCGTTATCCTTCTCTCATATGTAGAATCGGATACTCGAGCTCCTCCCACAGACAGTTACCTTATGCAAGGTACTGTGTGCACTGCATCGTCCCATCTATCGGGAACTTCCCTGCACTCAGATCACTGCCGATTCTCCACAAATATAATATCTGAGGGCGTTTCGTCATTCACTCAAAGTGTTACACGTATACATGTGGGAGGAAAAAGGCGTTACTAATTCCTTTTCATAAGGCGTCAGGTTCATCTGATGAATGTGAAGAATCCAAGCGGATTCGAATGTGAGGCGCAACTCGGTGAAGCGTTGACTTTGGGAGGATGGGGTCGAGAATGAAAGGTGGGTATGTCGTTCTATTTTCATCTACTCGCAGCTGGGATGGATGATCAAACTGACTTTTGGCATGAGGTTCCGGGATCTTCATTTGTAACCTAGATGCTGGTGAAAGTCTATATTTTTTGGGGTGTTTATTTTCCTCTCCTGTCTTTTTTTTCACAATTTATGCTATGATGTATGTGCATTGTGCATTGGATATGAATGTCGTTATTATGTCATTTCATATCTAATTCTCCAAATGCATAATCTCAATCTCGGACATCTAACAATTGCATCCCATTCCGTTCAAATTCAATCATTTCTTCCAGAGTCTAGTAAGACCCCAAATCTCAATCCTTCAATTTGGTACAGAGAACCCAAAGACAACCCAGACTCGATCAAGTCGCGAGATCAGATCTTCATGTAAATTATCTCCGATTCGATTCTCCCAAGCATCCTATATCTCAGCCTGATATAAATGAACTCACTCTATACGAAAGTATATATGGATCATGATTCACCATGCTATCGGAAAATCGCATATCCTCAGATAGGTTAGAGGGGTACGGAAGAAAGATTTGTCCATTCATGAGAGCGATAACCTGGCTGGACATCAACCGGAACTTCCATATTAATGAATTCGAGGAATATCAGAAAGATACTCAATCTCATACCTACCTAGGTACGAAAAACAGATCGATGGTAGAGTTTTCTAAACCACGCACCCAGCAAATATTTCACATAAACAACTTTTCCGTCTCATGAACGCTCTACATTGATTTGTTTTGTTTTGTTTCAGTTCGTTTCATGCTTTTTGACTTTCCGTCCGTCCGTCGGCTTTTCTAATGCAGGGGATCCACCATCTGCATACCACACAACGTTTCTTGCTGTCTATCACTCCAAATCCCAAGTCCACGGCAATATTCCTACTCCACCCCCTGAACCTAAATTTCTAGTCCTGAAGTAAAATATAATGAGTACCTATTTACTCCGTAGTACACAACATACATGCCGAGCCCTTCTATATTGAGCCTAGAGCGCAATCAACATCGCGATCAGACAAGCCGAAAATATATATTCAAATTTACTAGACCCATCGTGTATTTCTTGGGCTGGTAGTAAGAATGCATAGTATAGTATCATTTAAACTTCACGACGCCTGGAGATGAGATGAGATGAGATGAGACGAACGAACAACAACGTGGAAGGCGGATAAGGTAAGACATGT